GCTTTAGAATGATTACTGTTGTAGTTCAATATTTGATCTGTGTATGGTTTTCCTGTACACTTTTGTGTTCTGTTGATGAGGACAAGTAAGAATGGAATCCTTTCATTGAATTCCTCCTCCTTTATGAGGTTGATTCCTTCAAATGTTTGATTGATTAGTTTGAATATGTTTTCTACTTCCTCATCGTTGAGAATTGCGACTGTGTCGTTGACTTACCGAGTTCAAATTTTTGGCTTGATGAGATGAAAGGCTGTTGATTCTAGTTGCTGCATCACAACTTCAGAAATCAATCCTGATGTTGGTGATCCTACTGGTGTTCCACTTGTTTGTTTCTAAATTTTCCTATTGAAAGGGAAATAGGTTGTGAGATATAGCTCTATCATTTCCACTAGGTTTGGAACCATGATCTTTGTATAGTTAGGAACAGTTTAGTGGTTCTTCAGAAGAATATCCATCGTCTTCTTGGCTAAATTTGAGTTGATTGAAGTGAAGAATGAAGTCACATCAAAAGATATCATCCTTTCATCACAGCCTGACCCTAAATCCTTTATTTTGTCTAGAAATTCAGTTGTTGAGCTGACTTGATGTTCACTTCTGTTGGGGAGATGTTTTCGTTTTCTGTATCATTCTTTCGATCAGTTGAATGAATATGTTCCAGGTATTGAAACTATTGGTTGTAGTGGGATATCTATCTTGTGTATCTTAGATCGACGATGGAACCTCGATAGGACTGATCCATTTGTCTTCATTCGTCATTGTTCTTCGTTTGTGTTTTCACTGGATTTTACTAAACTCCTCAGTTCCCTTTGGAACTAGTTGTCCAACTGTTTCACTTGTTTATTAAGTTAATGCTGAAGATGTCATTAAGCCTAATAATGAAACTTTTATGACAAAATATCAACTCTCAGAGAACATCAAGCCCACCATCATCCTCATCCTCAGCTATATATCTTTCCTATTATTATTTTTATCATTATTATTACTATAGATCAATGAAAGCCTGGAAACACTGGATGGCTGTTTCATCTTATTATGACTCAACATTTTTATTATCATAAGACTCTTGTGATCAGCCAGCTTTACTATACTGAAACTGTCGCATATAATTTTATACACTTAGCTTTAGAAGAGGAGAAATGTACATTGATTTATCAAGAGAGGAGAAGTTACCGTTTGAAAAATCCATTTTCTGCAGTTGAAGAATCTTTATAACTTAGGCGAATATAAAAGTCAAGGAACATGCTGAGTATACTCATGTAGTTCCAAAGAAGGCTATATTTGTGAACTTGTAACACACAGTGATTTAGTATTATTTACTTGATGACATTTCGAGCATAAATTATTATTGCTCATAATCATATCAGTGTAATCACACTCCACTTTCAACATTTCATTCTTATAGTTATGTCACTTTATATGAGTTGGTTTTCCATATCTCTAGTATACGTGTTGCGTCATTTCTATTACATGTGTTGGCTAGGCGTAGATTCGATGAACAAAGATTCAGTAATCAATCTCTCTCTCCATCTAATTTATGTTGAACTTAAGTACAATGGCTTTGTCCCATTGTGTGGTTATGTTTTATTGCATGCATTGCAATAGCCGAGTTCTTTTTCTGGATTAGTGATCCTGTTATTGGGGTCTGTCATTCAATATTTAGTTAAATTCCTATGTTCGGCTATTCTAACTGACCTCGACAAGTTTGACTTATATACTTGACCAAACAGTCATTATCTGGAATTTGATAGATTAGATTATTTTGCGTAATTAGTTTTATCAGACCCTTAAGCCAACCGACAAAGTTTATCTCTGAGTGAGTTTGTAAGTTTAAATGCTACCCTAATTCCAGCTCTGCTGAGGATTCTACGTAAAGTTTCTGAGGTACATGAGTAAAGGAGGGTTCACAGCCTCCATTGTATTACCCTATAAGCTAAGCATCAGCTTCCTCTTCGGATCACCTAAATGTGTTTAAAAGTTTGGTCGCTTATAAGGGGGGGGGGGGCTAGTTATATCGCTCGCAAAAAGGGAGCACCTTCTAAAAGCTCGCACTGCTTAGCTTTCAAGAGCATAATACTGCTCAAACGCCGGTTTGATTCTCGATTATCTCGTCAATTTGACCCACTTAACTGTATTACAGTCTGCTTTTGAAAACTGTCTATTAATCACATTAAGCAGCTCAGAAAAACAGGACTCTGCATCTAAGTACAGAAGAAGTACGTTAATCTTTTTTTCACCTTAGTCTTAGTATCAATGTATTATTGTGTAGTCTTTGCGTGTTTTCGTTCTATTATCGATCATCACAGAAATCATGTGGTCCTTTTAACTAATAGCACACAACTATGTGTTTCCAACGCTTAGAAATACGATTGAGCAGCTTCAATAAATGAATTCGTTGTAAAGGATTTTTTACGCTGAACTATTTGTTATATGATTTAAGGGGTAGGTATATTTCGTGCAAATAAATCGTACTCTTCTGCATACGCAATGACCAACTTCTGAAAGATGTGAAGAAACGTTTACTTTGAAATTTTGAGGCACGGAAAATGCCGCCATTGTGTATCCAAAAACAATTTTGTTTTTTACTGAAGTTATTCGCTGGTTAAATTATCGAACTTTTCAATTCTTGAGCCTAACTGACTAACCAAATAATACTAGATTATGAATTCCTCCTAACTTATGCATTAGGAATTAAGGACAGTCGCTATATGCTGACAATATTTGGAACATGACAATGGATACTGAGCACTGAAAGACCCCTCCTACACTAATTAAGGAAACAGAAGACCAGACTAGGAAGGTAAGGTTTCTTACTTCGGGAAGAAAAAGTCAAATTTAGTTGAAAATATAGCTGTTTGTATAGTTATTTTACTGGACAGTCAACCCTCTACCTCAAATTCATCGACTTTGAAAAGGCCTTTGACAGCGTCAACCGAAAAGTAATTTGGCAGTTGCTTCAACACTACGGAACACCACAAACCTCTAACAATCTCATTCAACAACTATATGAAGACGCTACATGACAAGTAATTCACAATGGAAAGCTCAGTGATGCCTTCGAATCGAAGTGAAGACATGAGTAAAACAAGGCTATCTTCCTGATTGTGGTCAACTCGACTGGATCATGCAACAAACAGTGAGAAGTGAGAAGAGGAGGATAGACTGCCTGAATCGGGGAAAAAATCCTAGAAGACTTGGATATCGCCGATGACTTGTGTCTGATGTCACACAAACTTGAAGATCTACAGGCGAAAACTAACAAGTTGACAGAAGAGGCAGGGCAGCGAAGACGGGACTTCAAGTGAATACAGAGAGGATAGAGGTGATGAAGATACCCAACCAACAACAACAAACTCTAATCAGGATGAACGGGAGAAACTTGAAGGAAGTAGTCTCCACCTATCTAAGTAGCACTGTTTCAACTACAGGTGGCGGCACAGACGAGGACGTCAAAACCAGGATCGGAAAGACAGCAAGACAGGCGTTCATTAACCTGAAATCAGTGTGGAGATCTACTGCACTCAGCATGTGGAACAAGATCCGGATTTTCGACACCAACGTCAAGTCAGTGCTTCTGTATGGTTCAGAAACTTGGTGCGTCATGAAAAGCATTTCGAACAAAGTACATACAGTCATCAACAACTGCTTATGCTCGATACTGAAGCTCAGATGGCCAGAAAGAATAAGTAACAAGGAACTCTGGCAACGAACCAACCAAGAACCTATCACCTAACAAATATGCAGAAGGAAGTGGAGATGGGCATACACTGAGAAGACCATTCGGGCACATCACGTGCCAGGCCAGGCACTCGAGTGGAACCCACATAGGAAACGAATTGGGTGTCCGAACCGGGATTGACATGTAGGAGATGGTGTGAGGAAGAAATGAGAGCTTGTGGGCTGCCGCGGAGCCAGGTTCAAAAGATTGCAATGAACAGAGTGGAATAGAGACGTGCTACTGAGACCGTATGTTCCACTAGGAAGGAACTCAAGGGACAAATGATAATAATAATTGAAGTAAGTGTACCTTCAGCTGAGTATCGCGTTGAGAAGTCATTGTCCCATCGTTAATCATATCGCATCGTTCATATATATACTGCGAAACACAATAGCTTCAACCTACGATATTGTAGTGGTGAAACTATACGAATTCCATTTCGGTATCTCAAGAAAGTGTTAAAGTACGCCTTGAAAGTAATTAAACAGTTTGATTATCACAGGCTCTGCATACTGTAGACGAATTCCTGCATAGGTGTCTTAGTAGCATAGCTCACGTTTGGTGGAATCACTGAAGTTAAGTGAAGGATACTAGGCAAGTCGATTGATAAAGTTATGAACCTTAGTCGACTGAGATGGCTTGGACTATGCATGTCAAGCCATCACCTACATCGAAGTGCGATCCCAGGGGAAGTTGGAAGATAATTCAGGGTGGCTAGATCATAACGTGGTACCAGTCAATACAATCCCTGACTGTTGGTCTGAGCTATGTGGGGACCTGTAAACTGCCTAGTTGGAGTCCTCAAGGCGATAGGAATCGATGCATAAAGACTCTCACATAACTTTGATACTACTCTTTTTTTTATCCACCTGTGAAGTCTAACAACTTGAACTGATACACCTGTGTACAAGGTTCTACGTTGATCTTATCTGTCTACATGTGGCAAATAATAAGAATGACAAGATTTTTACGCTTGTGTATATATGTCGAACAAACTTCATGAGATATTTGCAACAAAATAATCAGAAAACAAGAAAATGAATTATCAGTATCGGTGAATATACACACAAGTCACCTAATGATTACAATAACCTCCTTGTATAAGGATCAATTAAAAAAGAAAAAAAAATACTCTGAAATAAACAAAAAGACAATAAGTAAACAAGCAAAAAACACATTTCAATGATAAAGTTATTTAGTTAGTTCATGTTAACATAGAAGTAGTATTCAACGTTGGAATACTATCAATATCATTATCAGTTGAATATTTAAGTACGTGTACACCATAGATGTCCAAATATGTCAGAATAAATAAGTGAACAGAACAGTAGAATGGATTCTATATCTTATCACATTTCTTTATAATAATCAAATCAGCTTTGACTCTGTTGTACTTCTTTTAAGAATCTTAGAATATACATGAATAAATTCAAGATATCCAAATAGAGATCAATACAAGCTATAATATACTCTTCAGGTGAACAATGATACATTATTCGCCAAGTATCATAGACAATGAATAAACTGAATAAACAAGTACCACCAACTGCAATACTGAACTCCAATAATGATGAACCTAGAAATAACTAGATGAAAGAAAAAGATCAATAAAAATGTAAGAGAAAGTATAATTAAGAAGTTAATAATCATTAAGGCCTATTGAATCGCTTCAAGTGTTTGACCATCGTTGCCTTAGTAGTATAGGCCAACGTATTCCGTGGTGTCACCACATGAGTAATGCAGAAGTCAGATGTAGAATTTTAAGGAGCAGTAGACGAGGTTATGAACCTTCATCGATTAAGATGGTTGGGACATGTACTACGTATTCCCAGTCACCGAGTGCCTCGTCACACAATGTTGGCCGAAGTAGGTCCAGGCTGGAAAAAGGCCCGAGGTGGCCAGACTAAAACATGGTATCAATGTATGAATTCTCTGACTGTTGGTTTGAACCATGTAGGATGATGTAGACTAGCCGGTTGTGGTCCGCGAGACAAGAGGAACCAGTGGTTGGAGACTCTAGGGGATATGGCTCAGAACCGATGTGAGTGGCGCAGATGTATAAACACACACACACACACACACACATTATCATCATCTTAACGGCGCTATATCGAATCTCACCATTTTGTCATTCTTCCTTGCTTTCTTCTCATACTTTATATTTCTTTTGACTGCATTCTCTTACCTTCATCCTTCACTTCACTACCTTTCTACTTGATGTACTGTACTGAGCTGTTGCAACTCGGACCGTTAGGCAGTAATACCTGGGCCTATGTTGATATTGATTGATTGACTCGCTCAACAGATAAGCAGTTCAATGACAAACATGACCATTGTGAAAGGTGATTGGTGTTATGGGCTTTCAAATGTTTCGGGGGGAGGGGACTAATGAGTTGGTCTCCAGTTATTCAAGACTCTTCTACTTCCAATGGTTACTCGACTAATACTTACTTGTAATAAAACAAGTAGATATATACATCATTCGATGTGACTGTTATCCAAAAGGGTTCAAGAACACTATACCATGTGGTTACCAAGAGGTAACAATGGAGTGAAAAGGAGTGCTATAGTGGAACACATCAATCCATACAAACCAACATAGAACCAGGCATTACTGCGTAACGGTCAGGTTACCACAGCTCATATCAGTACATAAAGTAAAACGGCAGTGAAGTGGAAAATGAAGAAAATAAAATTCACTCAATAGAAATATCAAGTGATAAAAGAGAAAAAGGTGAGATTCGGTATAGCGTTAAGATGGGGATAATGTGTATATACATCTGCGTCACTGACATCCGTTCTCAGCCATATCACCTAGATTCTGTCTCTAACCACTGGTTCTTCTTGTCTCGCAGACCCCAACCACCCAGTCTGTATTGCCCCATATGGATCAAACCAACAGTCAAATACTTCATACATTGACGCATGTTTTAGTCTGGCCACCTAGAGCCTTTCTCCAGCCTGAACTTACTCGATCAACATTATGTCAAGAAGAAGACGGCGACTAGGCATACGTAACACATGTCCCAGCCATACATCTCAGTCGATTAAGGTTTACAACCTCGTCAACTGACTTACCTCTTCTCCCTAAAACTCTACACTTGAGCCCAACTTCTGGTTACTCACATGGCGACACCACAGAATATGGCCTATACTACGAAGACACCGGTGGTCAAACAACTGAAGCATTTTCACGTCTTCTACCTTTAATGACCGTGTTTCACAGCCATGGAGTGGGACAGAGTAAAGTGAAGTGCAGTACACTCGAAACTTAATAGACAATAGGATATCGTGGCGGTGCAACAGATGGCATAAGTTGGCGAAAGCCAGTTGAGTCTTTTGCATGAGTGCAGAGATTTTATCGGCCACTGAGCCATCAGGGTAGGGTTGACCCCACTTCCCAGGGTAAGTGAAGTGGTCAACACACTCAATCACTACACTCTTTATTGTTAGTCGGAGTACCGTTGAAGACCAATCCTGGAGCAACAATTTGCATTTTGGTGATGAGAAACGCATCCCAACCATTTTCAAATTGCCAGACAGTGTTCAGAAGACTGTGCATCTTGCCAGAGTCTCCACCTAACAGGACTATGACATCTGCGTATTGTAACTCTAGCAAAAATTCTATTATGATCAGGTCAATCCCTGCGTGGTCAGATGACGAGAGACAGACCTTCATAAGAGCAAGCATGACGGACACCACTTGATGTACACAACTCACCATACGCTCTAACACGCCCACAGGTGTTCGAATACAGTCTTTATTTTTTCCGCGTATACAAGACACCATACTTGATGATGATCGACTGGAAATAAAGTGTTAATAAGAGTTTAAAAATGTATGCCCAACTCACGAACGTTCATTATTACTTATTAAGTAGTTTACTTACGTAACACCTTGTGTTTTTTTCGATACTTTCAGACTATCAACTCACTAGTTAAGTCTGATAGCGAGAATATACTGAGTTATATTTAAACGTTATTAACTTCTACAGTCTCTATCTACTATGTGGATTGGTGTTAATTAATAACCGAAGAATAATTTGGTTGGTTGTGGCTAACAGTAGAATCCAGGACGCACGTAGGAGCCCATATGCCAATAGACGTCGAACAATTCAATCCAACAAAACAACGGAGAATAACAAATATATCAGTCAATAGTAATAACCGTAGAATACATATGAAAAGAACAAAATTAAACCGCTCATTCCAGATAGCAATGAAAACGTCAACATATAACTGCTGAATAAGTTTGCATTAGTTATTCTCCAATCATCATATTTATTGCCAAGTATAGTTGAAATGAAGATGTATATTGATGTTAAGAAATCATCTTCACTTTGTATAACCAACTACATGTTAAAGTTGGTTCCTAATGATGAAATCCACCTAGCAACCTGGTATACAATCGTAAAGTACGCAATGAATTCCATCTGATATGTGAGAGCTAATCTTACTACTTGACTGCCTAAACCTCTGTAGATGCAGTGATGATCGAACCTATAGCCGATTGATTGTAATCCAAATTCCCTAAAATAATGGGCGATAATACATTCAACTGATGGTTATGACACAAAACTTTCAGCTACTAGTCTTTCCCCATCCCGCGACTCATATATATATACAAAACCCAAAGTAAACCACAGAATCAGCCACTGACTACTGACTGACCTACACTTGATACTTCTAACTTGTAGACAAACACTCAAGTCAAATGAAGAAGATGATGATAATGATAATGATCGAAAGTTGAATCCTTTAACTCAATTAGTGATGGACAACCATGGGACCAGCAATCAAGTTCACATCTACCTAAAAATTAGTTTCCCCTAAAATCTAAGTATGATTATTTGTATAGGGATACTAGAGTAATCCGTTCCGATTTAAATATTTTATTGAATTGAAATAACGTAAATAATGTCAGCTTACACATATTAATTACATGAAGTAAAACATAATTCATCATTCCTATGGTTACTTGTATTTGGAACAACAACAGTAAAAAATAATATTAACAACGTACGTTTATTGGTCCAGCCAATAAGAGAACGAGAAAGCCAACTGATAAACCAACACCCAATTTACTGAAATCTCTCTTGGAATTCAATGTGTACAACATTAATGTTAAAACTACAGCGGTAGTTAATCCAAACGCTTGAAGTACAACGGTTGCTGAGAATGTGATTACTGAGAAAATAAAAGTTATATTAAACACACAAAAGTAGGATACCACAATTTTATAATTTAACTTATGGTAGTTAGCAGTAGAATCCAGGAGGAGCATTTTGTCCTATTTGGGACTCGTCAGTTGGATGTGCCTGCACTCCATTGAATGGTAGTGTTCTCACTGAGACTCAAATCCCGTATCCATCACTTTAAACGCCACTGAGACATAACGGCCACTTATTGCGTAACGAGCATTAGTATTATTGATTGATGCTTGAAATTCTCAGTTGATGTGAAGGTACATCCATCTGACGAGTTCTAAACAACACGAAACGCACGTCTACTCCACTTTACTATTTTAAAATAGTTTACATGATTTCTTAAAAGCACTGATGTCTCCATGTTTGTTTGTTTGTTTTTCCATAAAATCAATCAACAATTTTCTAAACCTTTAAAATAGACATTCCTTAGTGTGAAAAACATTTAAGCTACTTACAACACTACATCGAATTGAGTTAGCATATTAAACAATGTGGTGAAAATGGGGACCATATGAAATAAATGCCATAATTATCTCAGCTAATAATGATTTATAGCTACATCATATAATTTATCCCGCTTATTCAACGCTTATCCTAAAGAGACTAAAAATGCCCTCCATTCAAAATTACGACAGGAACAGGCTGGCTGGCTGGATTCAGGAAGAACAAATCATGTGCAGATCAAATTGCATCGCTACGCATCATTATAGGATAGAGTACAGAATGACAGTCAACTCTCTACCTCAACTTCATCGACTTTGAAAAAGCGTCGATCGAGAAGTAATTTGGCAACTGCTTCAACATTACGGTTTTAGTGCCACAAACCTTTATCAACCTCATTCAACAGCAGCTATATGACGACGCTACATGCTAAGTGATCCACAATAGAAAGCGCAGTGATGCCTTTGAAGTTTGGACAGGAGTAAGACAAGGTTGCCGCCTACTAACACCGATCATCTTCATGATTATGGTGCACTAGACTGGATTAGGCAACAACCTGTGAGGAACGAGAAGATAGGCTTACGCTGGCTGGAAGGATGAAAAGATCCTAGAAGATTTGGATTTCCCAGATGATTTATGTCTAATGTCCTGCTTGTCGCACAAACCAAAGATCTACAGGCGAAAACCAACAAATTGACAAGAGAGGCAGCGAAGACGGTAATTCGAGTGAATACAGAGAAGACAGAAGTGATGAAGCTACCCAACCAATGCCACCACCAACAACAACAAGCATCAATCACCATCAACGGGAGAAATCTGAACGAAGTTGTTTCTTTCATCTACCACCTAGGCAGCATCGTTTCAACCACAGGCGGCGGCACAGGCACAGATGAGAACTCAAAGCCAGGATCGGGAAAGCAAGAAGGCGTTCCTGCATTAATCTAAAAAGTGTGGAGATCTACTGTAGTGCACTCCACTCCACTCAGCATAAAGCGTGAACAATATCCAGATTTCCAACACTAATGTCAATCAAGTCAGTGCTCTTATATGGTTCAGAAACTTGGCGAGTCACAAAAAGCATTTCAAACAGAATACAGACAGACATCAACAGCTACCACCTACGCTCACTCGATACTGAAGATCAGGTCAGAAGGCCGGAAAGAATAAGCAACAAGGATTCTGGCTGGCAACGAACCAACCAACAACCCATCGCCCAACAAATATGCAGAAGAAAATGGAGATGGATTGGATTGGACTGGACATACACTGAGAAGACTACTTAGGGACATCACGCGACAGGCCAGGCCATCGAGTGGAACCCAAATAGGAAACGACGAGTTAGACGTCCGAGCCGATGGTGATATGGAGGAGATTGTGTGAGGAAGAAATGAAAGCTTCTGGGAAGTCGTGTAGTCAGGTTAGAAAGACTGCAGAGAACAGAGTACAATGGCGACGTGCTACTGAAGCCCTATGTTCCACTAGGAATCCAAGGGAAAAATAATAATAATAATTCAACGCTGGATACCAGACTCAATGTACTATCACTGGACCACTAGTTTAACTATACGTGAACAATGTTCTGAAGATATAAGTAACGAACAACAAGAGACTTCATTGACTGACTGGGGACATGTCTTGGTCTGACCACCTTGAGCCATCTTCCCCTAGCATAGCACATCAAGGTAGGTGGTGGTGCAGTATGCGCATGACATATCCAAGACACATCAGTGGATAAAGGTTCACGACCTCGTCATCAATTGACTTGCCCGTCTTGAGTCGCACCCGTCCCCAAACTTCAGCATTGCTCACATGGTGATTTCACCAAACGCGAGCAACACCACAAAGATATCAATGATTGAAAGCTTGTAACCGCTTTCTTTGTCTTCTACTCTCAACGGCCATGTCTCACAGCTTTACAGCAGGAGAGAACGAATTACAGTGGCACAGTATACTCCCCGTTTGATAGATAGTCGGATATCTCGCCAGTTGAAGACACAGATGAAGCAAGTTGACAAATGCCAATACAAACAATGAGATATGATAAAATTTAGAATAATTAGAGGGGGAGGGGGAGGGAAATATATCCTTAATAAACTACCTACCTGCATATCCCACAAGTACGGACTCGCATAAAGTCTAGAAAAATTGTTCAAATTAAGCGGATAAAATCAAGTAAACTTACAAATAAAAACAATAGAATAAAATTAGTCGGTGTTTCTTGCCTTTTCCACATCAATGAGATCAGAATAGCAAATGTACTAATGAACAATACGAATGGTACCCATGGACTAGAGAGTTAAAGAGGGTAAAAAAGGAAGAATAGAATAATCACTATCTGATCAAATAAACACATACTTTTGTTGAAGGCTATCCAGTAGAACTGTTTCAATGCATCATTGTTCCACCGCATAGTGAAGTAATCAAAAGTTGTGTGAAAAGGATCCCGTAGACTTTTCGCAGAAATCCTTTATGATTATAAAAGAAAAAATAATAATAATACTAATAATATGTAGACCAGTTTAAAGATTTTCTGTAGACTTAAAAGTCGATATATCACTACAAATTGTTATCATTTTCACAAGATTTTAAGATATACGAAGACAATCTCTGCAAGTTATTATCAGCAGTCTGTATCTACAAGCTACAAGTGAACAAACACTTTGATAAGTTGTAAAAATAATCTTACCTTTGAATAACTTTTTTTTTTCAAAAACTCGATTACTTTATCATCAACAACTAGTATTTAGCCATTAATTTATATGTCGATAGCCTTAGGTGTATCAATGAATGACAATGGAACGTTTGCATTCACAGGAGGGAGGATAAAGATTTTATGCCAGATGTTATCATATCACTCAGTTTCTCAAGTCAGACTAGTAAGTAGACTTAAGTTTTCAACTCACAATCCATTTAGTCGATAGTAAAATTCTTAACCCTAATAGGCTTCAAATGATAGCACCGTTTCATTACAATACAAATAGATAAATATGATTCATTTTGAGAGATGATTGAAAATTCCGCTAATAACTTACCTTTGGATATAAAGCAGCAGATAATAAATCACGTTCATCAAAATTTCTATTGAATTTCTCTTTTAATTCTGAGGCTAATTTTTCAAAATCAAATGGTTGCATAAGTGAACCTATACGTTCTGTTTTAACCTTTTGACCTCTCATAATCTAATTTTTAAAGTAAATAAAAACATAAAATGAAACAAAACAATAGACAGAAAACAAAAAGACAAAGTTATCTGAGATTATAATGACTAAGTTAGATGTGTTCAGTATTCAATTAATAAATTACTATATTATATATTATATATTATATTATATATATATATATAATATTATCTTCAGGTGAATATAGAGAAGACAGAAGTGATGAAGATACCGCACCACCACCATCAACAACAACAACAAACTCCAATCACCGTCAACGGGAGAAACTTAAAGGAAGTAACCTCCTTCACTTATCTAGGAAGCACTGTTTCAACTACAGGCGGGACGGACGAGGACGTCAAAGTCAGAATCGGAAAAGCAAGACAGGCGTTCATTAGCCTAAAACCAGTGTGGAGATCTTCTGCACTCAGCATGCGGAACAAGATACGGATTTTCAACACCAACCCAGTCAAGTCAGTGCTCTTGTATGGTTCAGAGACTTGGCGCGTCACGAAAGGCATTTCCAATAAACTACACAAATTCATCAACAACTGCCACTTACGCTCGATACTGAAGATCAGATGGCCAGAAAGAATAAGCAACAAGGAACTCTGGGAACGAACCAACCAAGAACCTATCACGCAACAAATATGCAGGAAGAAGTGGAGATGGATTGGCCATGCACTGAGAAGGCCGACTGAGGACATCACGCGTCAGGCCAGTCACTCGAGTGGAATCCCCATAGGAAGCGACGAGTTGGACGTCCAAGGGTGACATGGAGGAGGTCGTGCGAGGAGGAAATGAGAGGTTGTGGGCTGTCGTGGAACCAGGTTCAAAAGATCTCAGAGAACAGAGGTCACTGGAGGCGTGCTACTGAAGCCCTATGTTCCACTAGGAACCCAAGGGACTAATAATAATAATATTATATTATATTATATATATATGACTATAATATTTGATTATACGCTTTTCATAAAGAAAATCTTCATTTGAAAAGAAAATAGTTTCAAGTGTCAGTTCAATGTTATGATTTCAGTTGAATATAACTGTTGACAATGAATTCTCTTTCTTTCTCAATAGAGCAGAAAATCTATTTATTGTGTAGACTAAAGTAAATTGATTGAAAACTCCTATGCATGAATATATGTTGTCACTGAATTTTAGTACATTTCGTTAATACATTGAAAGTCATGATTATAAATTTACTTTACTCTCGTGAATAAGATTCAAGAAGACCCATGATGATACATAAAAGTGAAGTACTTATCAGAATTTTAGAAGGAAGTAGAGATGGATTAGGAATGCACTGAGAAGACTATTCGAAGATATCACATGATAGGCACTTGAGTGGAACCCAGATGGGAAACAATGAAGTGGGCGTCCGAACCGGGGTTGACATGGAGATGGTGTGAGAAAGAAATGAAACCTTCTGGCCTGTCGTGGAGTCAGGTTGAATAGATTGCAAAGAAAAGAGTGCGATGGAAATGTGCTACTGAATCCGTATGTTCCACTAGGAACCCAAGGGACAAATAATAATATCAGAATTTTACAAAACGAATTGCTATCGATAGGACTGTAAGACTTGAAACACCTAGCATACAGTAGGTATTAAATATTTTTTTTCAATTTCAATGTAGTACTCATCATGAACTGTGACATCGGTTGGAGAATTATTGAAAATCTGGGAGTGCTGGACGGCTATTTCGTCCTCAGTAGTTTGCACCCGCGACTCAGCCATAAATTGAACTTAGGACCTACATGTTTCCTGGCAAATGTGCTCAATAGTTCACAGTTTTATGCTTCTGTCAACTAGTGATATAGCGCAACTATTCACCGAGGTCTTCAGTTGGTTTCCATTTCCCTTACGACTTGGTTTATCCCACAGGTTATGAACACAGGAGTACTGGATAGGTGTTTCTTCTTGGTATGGGACTCTGTGGCAGGGTCGTGGGTGCGAACTGCTGAGGAGACCCATACTAGGAAAAAGCAACTGTTCAGTGCTCCCAAGTTTTTGATGATTCACCGACTGATATAAATAAATAAAGTCTCCATAAACCTCAAATTGAACTACCTTCTGATCAACAATGTTTCCTTTGACACCAATAAATAACAAGGCTTTATCCAAAGTATAACCCCCCTAAAAGCAACGGTTTCTGTCTGCCCACTATTATCAGTCGTTTTCCAGTGGTGTGCAACATTAGCAAAAAAGGTTAGAAGCGGAGAATTACAAAACGGAAGTACTAAGCAGATATTAGTCAGCCAATGTTAACGTGCAACATGGCATCACTGCATAAGGGTTCAACTAGATACACCTTACATCACTATACAAGGTACCTATATATTAAATTGAAAAATCAAGTATTACTAAGTGGTTGCATTTCATCAAGATAGTAGAAGAAGAAAAAAAATGCAATAACCAAACTTGATATGCCGATTAAGAAGATAATATGTGCATACATCTGCACCATTCAGATGGATCCTTAGCCATATTGTCATATAGACCCTGACTGGGAGGTTTATATTCCTCTTCATGAGCAAGACGAATAGTCTAAGATTCCATGGACTGACGCCGTGTTTCAGTCTGGTCGCTTGTAAGCTTCTCCTAGTCTAAACCCACTTCGACTAATAGTGCACTACAGGACAGATAGTGACTAGGTATATATAACATATGCGGCAAACATGTACATCAGTGGAGGATCACGTTTTTATCAACTGGTTTAAATCCTCTACGTAGAACTGTACAGATGACTTCTATATTCCCGATGTGATGGTTTCATGCTACGAAGGCATCAGAGGTCGAACATCTGAAGCCATATGATATGCTTCACCTTTAGTTACCTTCCATATTTCATAGTCATACAATACATCGGAAAGAACTGCAGTGAAGTATGGTTGGCCCTTATTAAGGAATCTGATATCAAGACAGCACCACAAATGACATAAGTTGATGGGTAGTGAGAAAGACCTCGAAAACATTCTCAAAATGTTAATCAAAGTGTCTAGAAAACTTCATTTCTCAGTCAGTATACAAAGGGGATGACATATATGTTTGTATAATATAATACATCCATTAATTAAGGAGGATTTTATGACTAATGTTTCAAGAGCGTTTAGAAGTCATCTCAGATTGAACTCTACTCCATAGAAAGACAGATAGAAAGATAAAATCAGCGTAGAACATTGCACATGAAGGTATCGATTTCTCTAGACATACACTTCAAAGTAGCATGAAAAGAAAATGTGGATCCAAAAAGAGTCATATTATAGGTAAACCAAGGGTTATAGGAGAAAAAAGAACTAAACAATGAAGGTTAACTCAAAGCATTGAAGCTTCAGAAGACTTCAAGGATTGAATAGGTTCATACCATTCTGACTAATTTTCAGCTATTACATCAAGAGACCTCAACTATTAATTCCTTTCATTTTGGTGACCCCAGCTGGGTTAGTCTACATCTTCCTATACGGCATATACCAAAGCTCAGAGACTCCATATACGCCCAATGGAAAGTTTTTCAAAGGTATAGCTGTTTCATAAACAAATGAACAGTAGGGAACTGTAATAAAAGATCACAATATGTACATCATCCAAGCGGTTAGTTAGCGAATAAAAATACATAAAAAAATTGAACATTTTATGTGACTACTAACTGAAACATCTTACAATATACAAACCAATAAAAAAATAATAAAAGTATGATAAAATGTTAACAAATTACCTTTGTTCTAAGCGGTTCAGGGAATCCCCCATAAGGGAAACCAATTTCACCACTGAAAAATTCTATAACTGAATGAGGAAAAGATAATTCTTCAGCTCTGTCTAAAACTTGTTGAGCTGTCAAATTATTTTGAACCATAAACTGGGCTAAATCACCAACTATCTTTGAAGATGGAGTTACCTGTACAAATAGGGGATGAGAAATGAGTTTAATCTACAACCAATTATTCATTTAATCAATTTTTTAATTATTGATGACACGCACTACTTATTATGATATTTTTTTTATATCATCAAATAATTGTTCTTATATGCAATAGTGGAGTAAACATGTTTTGTGTTTGAAACCTGGGGGCCAAAGACAAAATTGTCATGAACCACTACGGGGTGCAAGAAAAGACTGACTGACTGACTGGCAAAATCAACGTAGAACCTTGAGCACAAGTACACTGACTCACGCTGCCATACTTCAAAGTACCATACAAACAACAGGTAGATAGAATAAGGGTGATATCAAAGAAGACAAAGGTGTGTGAGAGAATAAACAAGCTTTAGAAGATGCCAAGGAGTGAATATATAGAGACCGATTTCCAGCCATATCACCAAGAGTCCTCAACCACAGATTCCTATCGTCTTGGGCACCTCAGCCAGGTAGTCTTCACCTACCTGCATGGCTAAGACCAACATTCACAGACTTCGTCGACTAGTGTAACGCCTTGGTCTGGTCATTCTAAACCCTCTTACAACCTAATCCAACTTACTCTCCCTAGCATGGTACATCGAGGTAGGCGGGGGCTCGGGATGTGTACTGCATGTCCAAGCCATCTCAGTCAATGAAGGTTCCACTTGCGAAATATCCACTTTCAAAAAAAAATGTGTACAGTTAGTTCATCGGTAATTCTGAAGGAAGATAATCAGATACCAAACAATAAAATGATTTCATTGTCGCCTCTTTTAGCTGAAATCCATCTATAGGGTTCGGTTAATAGTTAAATACAACATTGACGTATTGTATAAGCAGAACACAATAACGAATAATTTATTAACCAACTAATTGTCATAGCACGTTAGGCTTTAGTTGTACATAATCAATAACGTGTATTCATGAATATTCATAAATTCCTTACCTTACCAGGATCTACCAGTTTTGACCTAACTTTGAGTTTATGTGCTTGGATAGACTAATTGACCCTGGTCGACTACTTTGACCTATGCATCTAACACCCTCGTGATCGTTGCAAGGGATTTGGTAAACTAAGTTATTCCGTCTAATTGGATCCAATTGGATCTTTTAACCTACAAAGCTTATTTCTAGGTGAGTTTGTAGGTTTAAATCCTACTCTAGTCGCAGCCACATTGACAATCCCATATAGTGTTTCTGGGCTGCTTTCTTTGTATAGTAATAACTGTAGAGGTTTTGAATTCTCTTTTCGCAGCATTCCCACCATTATTATTACTATTACCATTAACACTTGTATTACTAATATTAGTCATATTTTTCTTACCATTCCTAAGGAACTTATCAATTAATTTAGGAGGCTAACTGTTGATCAGTAAGGTGTCCTCAATAGATCTGGTTTCTTGCCTAAGATCTGTTTTACTAGTATGTTTTTTGGCCCTATTACTTAGACATTTGACCAAGCCAACTTTGACACAAGCCGAGGCAATTAGAAGTCCAAGTAACGATTGGAGTATGAGGGTTTCTATAGAGACTGATGTCTAAACTTGCATCTTGTTTTCGTTTTATTCTGTAGTCTAACATCGCTAATTACTCTACCACTATTTTTTAATTGCATTGCGTTGGTAACTGAATTTATATGTGTAAAGAAACTGTGTTCTCCAAAGTCAACACTAAACGTGTCATCTATGAATCAAAACCATACATTTGGAGTAGGATTAAGTGTTTCCACAGTCATCTATAAATAATATTGTTCCATTATGTGATGCATCTAATAAGTCAACTAAAAAGGAGTGATCTCGAAACATAGATCTGTTCTACAGAACGTCTATACATATTATAAAAACACTCATATGCATCGTATCTGACTTATTTATGCTACAAAAACATACCACTAATGGCTTATTAGTGAAGTAGACCGTTATAATTTCATGTAGAAACATCAGCTATACATAAAATGTTGGCAATTATTGTACTTCATAAACATGTCTACACTTGCTGGTTCAATCACATGAGTGTTGTAATGTATTACCATAGGGTTAGATACTATTAGACTGCATATAAGCTCATTATATATATATATATATATATATATATATATATATATATATATATATATATATATCACTACTATCCTTTTAACTGAGAAAACAACTCGGTATGAAACACTTAAGAGTTAACTGATGAATAACCAGACCATACGGTTGGATCACTCTGTAAGTGAATAAAGCAAGAACAAAGATATTTCACAACCTTTCATCAACTGAAAACAGTCTACAATTAAAATAAAGATTTGAAATCCAGGATTAATAATAAATAACTTAGTGAGTGAATCAAGGAAATACAAGATTACAAGATAATTACAAAATGGCAATTTATATCTGATGAGATAAGAAATTTTGGAGTTGTAGAGAAGAAGGTAGAGGGTCAACAAACAGAGACAAATGTAAAAGAAGAGGTTGGTAAAGAGGTAGCAGGTTGGCATAATTATATGGAAAGCTGAAAAATAATCAGGTTGAATAATGAACAGTCAGTAAGTAATTAATGAAGAGGTGATGTAATCAACAACAAGAAAAGGAAGACTGGATGCATACATGAGGAAAAAGATACATATAGTGACCAGGGTAAAAAAAAGGTTAATTACAGTCTCTTTCTGAGTATAAGAGGTAGATCGGATGGTGCAGTTGATAAAACTATCCACAGAAAACATACGTAGATTGGTCAGTACCTTCACTAGAATAGCTTCTGTCCTGTCAGCTATAAGCCTAGTTTAGTCAAGACCTTCTCCACTAGAATAAAAAAACGTTGTCCTCAAAAGATAAACAGGAAGAAGAATTCGGTATAATTGAGAAGGCTCTTATAGAGAATGGATACTTGAAGAAATTCAGCATCAAGTATGGGAAAGAACTTATTGAGAGACTAGAACATCCAACTGTTGAGAAGAAGCCTGTTTTCCTTCGCCTAGCATTCAAGGGTGATGAGACATCTGAAAGAACAGATGGAAGAATAAAAGCTGCATTGAGAAGCTTCCTCGCTACCAGACTGATTTCAGCTTACAATACAGCATACTCAACAACACAGTTGAAAGCATACAAATATTCATATCATGTCACCCGTGCTTGTGGAAGCAGGTAATCTGGACAGACCGAAAGAAGGAGGGTAATCCGAGAAATTCGTATCTGGAAGGTATCAAAATATATACTGGCACAATCACCAGGTACCTGATGAAATCAGGACATCAAATAGGCCTCTCTCAATCTTTCAAGGTAGTCAACAAATAAAGATCACCATGTTTATTCCAGTTTGCGAAAGCCATCGCTACCAAACGCTCTCAACCTAATCTTCGTAATCAGAAAGAGACTGTAGTTAACCTTTCTTTACCCTGGTCACTATATGTATCTTTTTCCTCATGTATGCATTCAGTCTTCCTTTTCTTGTTGTTGATTACATCACCTCTTCATTAATTACTTACTGACGGTTCATCATTCAACCTGATTATTTTTCAGCTTTTCATATAATTATGCCAACCTGCTACCTCTTTACCAACCTCTTCTTTTATATTTGTCTCTGTTTGTTGACCCTCTACCTTCTTCTCTACAACTCCAAAATTTCTTATCTCATCAGATATAAATTGCCATTTTGTAATTATCTTGTAATCTTGTATTTCCTTGATTCACTCACTAAGTTATTTATTATTAATCCTGGATTTCAAATCTTTATTTTAATTGTAGGCTGTTTTCAGTTGATGAAAGGTTGTGAAATGAAACGAGCTTATAGTTTATTTTGAAAAAAATCTCTTTCTTTTTGTTATATTGAAATTTCGGAATAACAAGAACTAAACAATACCTACCAAGGAAGATGAGTTCAAGATGATCAAGTTGTAAATAAATTATGATGTATATTGACATTTCTCAAAACTGAGTAGTTTTTCAACTTCCCAATCTATGATGTCAACAGAGCGTCCATTGGAAACCACTCATAAGCTAAGATCATAAGATGTGATCTCTGACAGAAAAGGCTGATATATAGAACTCTAAAGTTCGGTTTTATGAGCTGAATATTTTGGAGAACACTGTTGATGAGGCAGAACCCGAACATGCAAAACAACCCACCAGGGTTTACATAACTCTTATCTAGCTATAAAAATCTACAGATTATCCTAAGTAGTTTCAAACTACTCAAGCTATTCACGGATTGATCGTTGGAGAGTAATGAATATCATGTTATCGAATCCTAAGTGTTGAATTTACAATATGGTCATCGCACTAGAAAACCTGCAAGTTGTACATACATATTACTGATGAGTATCAAAAAGCAGGAAGCCTATATCTAGGGTCTTCTATTGACTACACGTAAACATAATATTAGATAGGATACAGGAAAATATATGACAGAATGTAGATTCACCTTAATTATATCGCCTAACAATTGATTAGCTTCTGTATATTTACGTTTAACATTTTCAAATTGATCTCCCAAACCAAGAGAATATGATTGAAATTGTAAATTTGTATACTGGCCACCAGGTATCTGATTCTCATATACATCTGCATTACCTGAACGCATAGTTGTTGTACATTCGAATGGTGCATATAAATTACGTGTTTGTTCCCAATAAGCTGAATAAGCAGACACATCTTTTGGAGATAAAGTTGTATCTCTGAAAGTAAAAATAAAACAAAAATATTTTTCAGTGGAATTGTAAAACTATAACGTCATTGAGATATTTCTGAAGTGTTCAATGGTCAACTTTTATGAATTTTAACAAATTAGAACTCTACTTAGACCGATAACACCAAAGTTGCTGATGCTAATCCTACAGAAGTTCAGATTTTTACTTCACTTTCAATCACTCCAAAGTAACAATTAAGAATAGAATGAATAAAACTGAAAAAAATCAAGTTATATCATACTGTTTTACAAAGTTTATAATGCCTGTAACAGTCTTCGCAGATTTTTCTTCCTTACGGTAGAGAAAGTCCATTGAAAGAAACTGACAATACGGTTATGATTCCTGAATACAGCGTTTATCTTCATCCTAAAGAAATGCAGTTGGTCTAACTATGAAAAACTACACTTTAATCTGGAGTGAAGGATGAGACAGTGGTAAGGAAGATAGACTATGTTTGATTGTACGTTGTGTGCATGGGGGTGGATTGGCACTTCCCGGCTGCCCACATTATGTAAATTGTTTTTTCAGGTACCTGGAAGAAAAGAAGAGTTGTGTAACCACAGAGTTCATGCAGCATCTGTCTTTCTAAGACTGCTGCTGTTTTATGAGTTTGTTGTTTGAATGCACGTAGGGAAAAGTCATACTATTGATACCAGAATATCACAGGATAGAGAGAAGTGTGCTGTTTTTGTGGGATGACAGTGAAGCTCACTAGGTGATTGTGATATACAAGCGTAACCACCAAATCAATGTAGCAGCTATTGGTCACGGATGAACATACCTTCTTTCAGTAACTTGATTGGCATATATGATATATGGATACAGAAATACACGTTTAACGACTGACAAACTAATAACGATTACTTATTAGTATACATAATTGTTTTTATATCATACCGTCGTTGATTGGACAGAATTGATCGGTCTCTATTGGGATATAGGATCCCGTGGAGATGCCTCGATATTACATGTGCTCTTATGATATTAATGATGGATAATAGCAGTGGAATCCTATTTAGAACTTGTCAGCTGGATGTACCTGCATCCGCACAGGATCTTAAATGCCAATAGAGACCGATCAATTCAGTCCAATCAACGACGGTAATAGTACAAGCAGTTATACTAAAACTATACCCGTCGCACAAGAAGTGGCTACCGTGGCTCGGATGATGATCTGGCATTTGAAGCAATCGCTCCCGAGCCCCGATGGGATCAACATCACACCAGGAAGCAGGTACATCCAACTGACGAGTCCCAAGTAGAACGAAACGCGCATCCACTGTTAGCCGCCATCCATCATTACGACTACTTATTAAAATTAAATAAATACAATGGATGCATGGGTCAGATGGTCTCTCCAGATCTTAGTGAGCCGGAGTTCTGCTATCTACTGATTATTTGTTAATCTGTTTAATTTTTCATTTTTGTATCCGGTAATTGACATACAGTCGAACTGTGAAACCTATTCCATTGCTCAAGCGTGGCTTCTTCAAGACATATGTTCAAGGAATGTACCTACTTTGTCCAGTGCACGGTAATTAATAAGTGTTATACAAGGTGAAATTAGGTGACCATCTTATTATGCATACTCCTATCTTGTATAACGATATCAGTTTTGCATCAGGGTAAGTTCTGTTTCACGTTACTTTCAGTCATTGAATAAGGAGTGATTTTTGTAACTCAGTAGCCTAACTGATGATAATGTTCTGGCTTTTGCAGCAATAGGGTGCTGGGTCAAAGTGTCAGTAGAAACAATATCATACTCACTGACAGGTAGGTAAACCCAGCTGATGACTAGTCCTGAAAAAGAGGAAACGAGTGTCCTTGATTCCTGTGTTAGCTACTATTCATCATTTGTAGATTAGTCATGTTATCCCTTGAACAAAAATCGGATAAATGCTGGGCTTTTTTTCAAACCGTTAAGTTATTGGAGTCGGTAGACATATCCCCCAATGGATATAGCACTTTATTGCAATTCTAATCATCAACTGAAAAGGTTATCGGAAAAATGAAATTATTGTGTTTCACCAAATTTGTTTTTCTTGAATCAAATTTGTTAAGAAGACTCAATTGAGAATCTCATAAGATTACTATTGTTAATACTATTTTTAAAAAACGTGGGAATTATTCAGTTATTGGGAAATCGTCTTACGTTTTAAAGTGCTTAGTTAGTTAGGAAACTCACACAATTCATTCAGAAATGACATTGAACCTATACTGTACTGGATTTACAGTTGATTAAACAATTTCTAAAATGCTCCATTATTATTGATGGGGGGCACTGGAATCCAATATGGGCACCTCAGTCTATTTAGAACTCATCAGCCGAATGTACTTACTCCTTAGTGAGTGTTGCTGTTTCCTGCTGATAGTAATCAATCGATTCACTCCAATCAATAAAGAGAAATCACTAGACATACCATCAGTACTTCAGTTAATTTGGATAAAGTATGCAGTGAAGGGTGAAAAATCATAGATTGAATTGTTCTCTGAGCACAAGTCATGATTGACGACTATTCGATTATACAATGAGTATTTCTTGTTAGTAAGAAAGTTTTTCAAACAACAGATATCCATTGTAAACATAAGTCTAACTACTTGTTTATTCATGTCATATCATATTAAAAGTAGAAAGTAATTGGGCATGCACTGAGAAGGCCGACTGGGGACATCACGCGTCAGGCCAGTCGCTCAAGTAAAATACCCATGGGAAGCGACGAGTTGGACGTCAGAGGGTGACATGGAGGAGATCGTGCGAGGAGGAAATGAGAGGTTCTGGGCTGTCGTGGAACCAGGTTCAAAAGATCCCAGAGAACAGAGGTCACTGGAGGCGTGCTACTGAAGCCCTATGTTCCACTAGGAACCTAAGGGACTAATAATAATACAATATTCATGGTAAAATATGAACAACAATAAAAGTGAACTTACAAATCAGTATTTTTTAAACAAGCTACAAGTGCTCCCATACTTGGTTGACTAGTTAATCCAGACATACTGTCCACAGCTACATCAACAATATCGACACCAGCCTCTGCAGCAGCTAGTAGACATGCTATACCTGCACCAGCTGTATCATGTGTATGCAAGTGGATTGGTAAATCTGGATAGCGATCACGTATAGCAGATATAAGCATGCGAGCAGCATTTGGCTTCAATAAACCTGAAATTGAATTGTAAACAAATTATTCTAAGCTTCAGGATTCAGTATTCATAGACAGACAAGATAAAAACCAACGTTGAATCTGGCACACAAAGGCATCGGTTTTTAGTTAGCAAAGCTAAAGACTGAAGAACTTTCTAGTGAATGGATGTTTATATTACTAAATAAGAAACTATACAAATCGACTAACAACATCGTCTGGTTATAACGCAAACTTCGAATATTGCGCGCTTTGTCGTTGATAGTGAAATCTATCTGTGTAATGACAGATGGAAATCCATGCCCGTCTCTTGATTTGCAGCAAGTTTTAATAAGTTTATGCATATCAATAACTTGCTCTATGAGTTATATAATTCTGGATACTATTCTGTAAACTTTCAAAATCATCATTTTGACGGTGCCTATGAACTAGTATCTGTCATGTTAAATCCATTATATGAGAATGGCAGTTCTTATTATCTTCAATTCGATGCACTGCAAATACTGAAAGTGGTATTTTCTCTGTCTCGTAACCGCGATCTGATGTTTTTGATGGAGTTAAACGACCTCCCCTCTGTACTATTAAGAACCCGTAAAATCTTGTAGATTTTTCGACATATATCAATCTGATGATGCCTGTAAACTGGCTTCTCCCATGTTAAATTACTAATGTGAGAATAGAAATTTATTATTACTATAAGTGGCCACACTTCATCACAATATACAAAGAACAAATGGATAGAGAAAGACTGATATCAAAGTAGATACAGGTGTGCGAGAGAATAAACAGTCTCGAGATAACGGTTAATGTGAATATTCAAGCTTTAGAAGACATCTAGAAGTGAATGCATCTGCACCACTGAGACCGAGTTTTAGCCATGTCACTAAGAGTCCTCAACCACCGATTCCTATCGTCTCAGGGACTCCAATCAGACAGTCTACATCTCTCAATACGGCTAACAACAACGGTCAGGGACATCATGAATTGGTGTTACATATTGGTCTGGCCACCCTGAAACTTCTTACAACCTAATCTAACCCACTCTCCTTAGCATGGTACATCAACGTAGGTGTTGGTTCGGGATGTGTACAACATATCCGAGTCGTTTCATTTAGTGAAGGTTCACAACCTCATCAACGGCTATGTCTCACAGTCGTATGACACGATAGAACGGACTGCAGTGGTGCAGTATGTTCGTCCTTCAGTAGATAGTCAAATAGATCACCAGTTTCTAGAGCAGTTGACGCAAGTTAGCAACTTCCAAAGAGGCCTTGTTTATTCGAGCTGAAATTTCATCACCAGTCAACCCATTCGGGTTGATGCAAGTCCTCAAGTAAGTGAAGTGGTCAGCGCATTCTACCACTTTACTCTCTACTATTAAACGAGAGAAGTTGCAAAAGAGTCCTGAAGCACTATAAAATGCTACACAAACGACAAACTAAGCATATTAATATATTATTGCCAAGTTCTATATGCTTGGTAAAATACTCGTTGTTATTCATAGGTGATCCTGTTGAGAATTGACAACCCAAGACAACATTAACAACGACTGTGTTTTGCATAGAAGATTACTTAAACAGGTCGAATAGCTTTGACTAGAAATATGTGGAACAGTTTGAAGCAACGTGTATGCTTTTCGGTGTTTGTTTGAGCAAGTCTGTTGAATGTAGACCAATAAGGAAGAAACTGGAAAATAATGTGTAGTCAGTGAATCGCATCTGCTGTGTCAGAACTAATTAAAATTCTACTTGGTCGTCATAATCTCGATAAATCGAATAGGTTTTGAACCTGGCGTCTAGGACAATGATACAGCACTAATTATTGGAAACGGATCAAAGGTATGAACGAAATAGTTTCAATACATAGCAAAAATATGAGAACCATTCCAATTGAGTATTAGCTATATTGATTCTGGGTGTTGATCGAAGGTAAGATGAAATTTTGAACCGAGGCGTAATTCGAAAAGGTGAATCTAGTCAGTAGTTGGACTTCGTAGGTCAGTTGGTAAAGCATCAAGCCAGAAACTCAGTGGTCGCTGGTTGGAATCCCACCTCCTTCCAAATTTTCATTCCACCTTCAATCACCACCTAGGATCAATACAAGTCTGCCAAATCGTGTCAAAACGGTTATCAGCTGTATGCTTAAAACAAAAATTATTTCTATATGAGCTTCTGTACTCAGCATAAAGAACAAGATCCAGATTTTCAACACCAACGTCAAGTCAATGCTTCTATATGGTTCAGAAACTTGGCGCGTTACGAAAAGCGTTTCCAACAAACTACAGACATTCATCAACAACTGCCTACGATCACTTGATACTGATATTGAAGATCAGATGGCCAGAATAATAAGAATAAGCAACAAGGAACTCTGGCTAGTAATGAACCATCCAAGAACCTGTTGCTCAACAAATATGCAGAAGGAAGTGGAGATAGATTGGGCATACACTGAGAAGGCCGACTGGGGACATCACGTGCCAGGCCAGTCACTTGAGTGGAACCCAGATGGGAAACAACGAGTTGGGTGTCCGAACTGGGGTTGACGTGGAGGAGATGGTGTGAGGAAGAAATGAGTGCTTGTGGGCAGTCATGAAGCCAGGTTCAAAAGTTTTCAGGGAACAGAATGGAATGGTGGCGTGCAACTGAAGCCCTATATTCCACTAGGAAACCAAGGGTCAAATAAATAATAATAATATGAGCTTCACTTCTACCTTATAGATAAGAGACGGATAAAAATTCAAAAGAGTGCATCATTACAAAAACAGTTTGTCGGTATTTGTTTACTAATCCCACTGTACACAGCAACATTTCTACTCAAGAACGGCACATTCAGTTTTACGACAGACTATAAATACATCATAGGAGTAAGCCTAAATCAATTACTGAAGAATGTCGATAAACTGAAGGTGAATGGTAGGAATCCAGGGCTTATCTGAGTCAGGATTGTTGTTTTGGGGTCTGGCTGTTTCAATGTCAGATGGAGAAGACCCGTATAGCCAGGACTGAAAGACTATGGGGCCCGGAGGAGCGTGTCGTTTTGGGAGTTAGCCATTCCTACCCTAAAACCTTAACATTGGAAAGGCAGCATCCGTGCGGCACAACTGGTTATCTCCAAAAAACACCTTACTACTGTCACAACACCCCATCCAACTAACAGTACGACTTCGCCCTCGGACCCCCATCATAGTGCAGCGATTTACCACTAGGTAAAACAACTTCCTGGCGTGATAGGAGATCGAAGAGACAAGCGTTCTAGCCAGTGTAGGTCATTGAGTCATTATGATACACAGGCTCAATCACCTAGTAGGGCTTGGTAGAAATAGAACAAAGAGGCAGTCAATAAAAGTAAAGTTTATAAGATTTTCGTTTCATTTTAAGTGGCAGGAGGTAATCACAACGAAAAATCTGCTCAACTAAGGTTTCGTGTTTGTTGGCACTCGTCAGCGAAGAGTATCTGCAACTCCTTAAAGATTCGAACCCAGGTAGTTCAGGTAGAGGCGTTACCACTGGGATATTCACTTCAGTTTCAAAGACAATGTTAAGGTAAAACTGCCTGAAATTGCCTGAACTAAGAATATGAGTAAATAGGAAAATAAAAGACATACAGAACAAATGTATATAAAATATAATGAAAAAGAGAAAGGATTGACAGTAATCTCAATAGTGTGACTGATTTTGAGATACATCAGCCTACATACTCTAATTTTAAACATCTCGACAACTTGACAGTCAGGAAGTAGTCACTTCAATTAACTATTTGAACGAGAAGTTGAAAAGATTTTGATGAATTGATGCAATTTTTTTATTCAACCACCTTTAGGCCTTTTATTTAACGTTGTTCTACTTCAGCTGACTTGATCAATGGACAAAATGGATAAGAATATAAAACACATCACTAAAAGCCATGTCAGTCTATGGAAATTTACAATTTTCTAAGGTAGTATTTTTCAAAATTTGAAAGATTATTTTCTCTAAGAATGAAGATACTGCTTTAAATCAACCTGTGGAATATTCGATAAAGAAACGCTTTTTAAACAACAAATCTACTTACCTGCCATATCTTTAATGCCTAATATATGTGTTCCAGCTTTCACCAATTCATCAATTAAATCCATATAATACTGTAAATTATATTTATCAAGTTTTGGATTTGAAAGATCACCTGAATAACAGATTGAACCTTCAACAACACCACCAGCTACGCCTACAGCATCCATTCCCATAATTAAATTTGGCAAATAATTTAAACTATCAAATACACGAAATATATCTAAGCCACTTTTCACTGCAACTTCACAAAATCTAAGCAAAAATAGAGATAGGCAGAAAATAATAAAAATCATCTCAATGAATGTAATCCAATATTAATACGATACTGTTAGAACCTGTTTAACTATCAGTTGAAACACTACTGAAAACATGGGAGTACTAGGCAGCTGCGCAGACGCATAACTCATCAAAGGGTTGAGTCTAGGACAATCGGGGTCCGCGATGTACCGCGAGTTTCATCCTTGGGTTCGATTCCTGGAGAGGCAGGATCATGGGTGCCCACTATTGAGACAAAACAGGTTTCCAGTACTCCTAGATTTTCAGTAGTTCTTCAACCGATATCATACTAACGTGAAATCAATAAATTGTCACAAAGCTAAAAATTGAGTGATTAGTTAATTGGGATCTGTGAAGTATTGAAAATCGTCGACTGACGTCAATCGAAATTGATAGAAGTTATGCTTGAAGCTAAAGCCCATCTATTCAAGGCTTTTATTTCGCTTAATAATTCACCAAATAGTATGAAATAGTGAAGGAATCAATGGAATGTTCAAAGTCATTTCATCCACTAATTCATATATATATATATATATATATATATATATATATATATATATATATATATATATTTGTTTGTAAGAACAGTATAAAAAGGTAGTTTTGTAGGTGATATACTGCTGAAAATTGTTAACTGAGCAATTATTGGCCATCATTCTATATTGATTAACAATGAAACTATTTTAAGACTACCACAATCTTGAACACAACAAGTATACACTAAATTCACTGAAAATGTGCAACTATACACTACTAATCAACAGTAAAGTGAAGAAACAACTTTGACGCCCAAAAGGAAAATCTATACTAGCATATATATATATATATATATATATATATATATATATATATATACTTTTCATCACACTGTTTTGGGACAGAAATAACAACAAACTAAAATATATAAACAAATTAAATCAATATTTGTTTACAGGTAACTGTGGCAGGCAACCCATGCTGTATTACACCTTCTGTCAATAACAGACTTGTGTACTACCATTTTAACTGAATTTTATGAATACTGAGTTGGAACTGAGGATAAACAGTTATTCAACGCTGATATAAGAAAGTGTAGACTAATAGATTTCGACTCAGTGGCTCAATGGTAACGTGCTAATCATGGAATCTGAAAGTCTTAAGTTCCAACCCTGTTGAAGTGGGGGTCATGGATGAAGACTACTGAGGAGTCCCATACTAGTGTACTCTCAGGTTTTTTAATGTTTCTTCTATTGATGTCTGTTCATGATGAATAACAAACTGATTTCAAGTTGATAGCTGCTGAAAAATTATCGGAAATTTAGGAGTATTGTAGTATAGAACTTCTCAGAATTGTGTAGCCAGAGCTTTCAGGTTCCGTGGTCAGCAAGTTGCTAATAAGCTACTGGGTAGAAATCTGATAGTACACATTTTCCTACTTCTTTCATAATCCAGTGGATAAAAGTAGAGCCTTACCCTTATTGGTAACAGTTTATTGACAACAGGATAACATCTATACACTATTCATACTTGGTTATTCACTATGAGAAAGCCAGATGATAACTATTCTAACTTACTATTGTCCTTATTCTTTTGTGGTTCTAGAGTGCGGTTATGAGGTTAAGTGAGGCTTGCAGTTCAATCTCTTGATCTCACTTAGTCTGACCTATGAAGAATCACCGGACAACCATAGTTCATTAGTCATTAAAGCAGGCAATCCAAAAAAGCCAAGTTGACCATTAGTTCAGGTTCCAGTTAAGTTGGATGTAAATCTGCTCTGTGACGGCTAGAAGCGGAATCCCGTACACTGGTTTCCTCTTAGTTAGGACTTGTCAGCTGGATGTACTTTCATCTCAGTGGGTGATGATCTTCCTATGGGAACTCGAACTCGGCGCCCTTTACTACGAACGCCACAGCTTTGTTTACTAGGCTGCTGAGTCATGACAACCACCTCCACCTTGCAACATCAAGTTCGTCTTAATTTTTCTTCTAACACTATATTGAATTTGAAGCAAATGAAAGATATTAAAATTTAGTCGGCAGAAAGCTCTGGACATAAGTTTCGCTTTTGTAAACATTCATCAACAACACTTACTTGTATACAATGTTATCAGGATAATTCTTATATCCAACAGCATTTGCACCACGTAACAGCATTTGAAATGGAATATTTGGAATGACAGATCGAAGTTGTTCAAGACGTTCCCATGGACATTCATGAAGGAACCTCATGCTAACATCGAATGTAGCACCTATATGATAATTAATCAGAAATATTTTGGCATTTTTCTGGTTTAACATGCTTGGCATTGTATTATACATTGTACACACACGCAGACACTGACTTACCAAGGCATATTTTGAACAGTCTTATTTCGTTTTGTACATGTTGCAAAGACTGTTCCTGTTCTTTATAAATGATCAATTTAAGAATATCAAGTGAGGGTACGTGAAAATGGGTTCCATCTCGCAATGGCCTATTTTACGACTTTGAAACATGATTACTGAAGAAAGAGGACATGAGAAGAGTTCAAATGTTAAAATACCCTTGCCTTCATAGCATAAAAGCCCATCGTGATGTCATCATCTCAGTAACACAGAAGCCAGGTGTAGCATTTTAGGGAGAACAGGAAAGCTAATGGATAAGGTTTTGAACTTTCATCGACTGGGACATGAGTTACATATGCCCCACTACGCAATGTTAGCTTAAGTACGTTCAGACTGGAAAACTTTAGAGGTTGTGAGACTAGAACATGACATTAGTATATGCAGTCTTTAACCATTGGTCTCAGTGAGAAGTGTAGGGGAATGTAGACTTGCCAGTTGAGGTCCACAGGACAACCGAAGCCGAGGGTTATAAACTCTGGATGATATTGCTCAAATTCTGGCTCATTAGTTTCATCTTAATCATCTGACTGACTCTCAGTATTGTCTCATTCTTCTTTTGACAACTTTGTACTACATCTGACTGCGTTCTCTTATATTTCATTATCTTTTATCTTCGTGCATTCTCTGTTGATGTGGTGATATGAAGTGTAGCAACTTGAACCATTACACAGTAATCTGAGGACCTATGTCAATATAGGCTGACTGATTGACTGACTTACTCCACTGTAGTTTCCGTAGAGATCTGTTAAGAGGGGGGGGGGGGGCAGGCTGTTTCAATCAACAGAAACAGCAACATCGTTGAAAGTGATGGTAAATGTAATTAATTGTTTATGAGTGATAATAGCACAAGCTGTATTGTCATTTTCTTCTACCCTGTGATATTTCTACTGAGATAAGTAGGAAAATGTTAACCACTGAAATCAGACCCAGTGGTGCCGTATTCATCACGAAACCGAAAGGTCCTGTGTCCAATCGTCCAATCCCTGGCGAAGTAGAGTCATGGTTGCGCACCACTGGGGAATCGCATACAACAAAGAAACAGCTCTTCAGTGCCCTCAGGTTTTCAATAGCTCTCCAGCTGATGTCAGTCAATGATGAATAATAACTTGAAGTCCAAAAATAGTTTACAACCTATCACATTACTTTCTCCTTCCTGTACACATTGCCTGATGAAACAATCTTACCAAAGCAATTTAATTTCCACATCCATCTATTTACGGAAAGTATTCTTACTACTAACTAAGATTAAGTAGTAATATGTTTTGCATCAAGAAGTTGACAGGTGTTCTAGTGATGAATATACTTCAACGTCACTGGTTCGATTCTTGCCGCAACCCATATTTCCACTTCGTTTTCAACATCACTCAGTGTCAGTAATATGAGTCTGTTAAACAACGACTATCTCAGATAGTCAAACAAAACTATAGAGACATCAAAGATTAGTAGAAATATGAAAAAATGAGAGAGCTTTAAGACACAGTTCAATAAGATAAATTCAGAAAGATTTTAGTAAAGCTTTTCAATGTAGGGGACAACAAAGAAATTCCAACATGATGTCCATTAGATTCAATTCTGATCAATATTTGATTGATATGACCTGAAGCTGCCGGACTTCAAGACTGCTTGGACTCCGACTGAAAAAAACCTAAATCGCTACATCCGTCTTTCGTTTTACATTGCCAAACCAGCTCCAGTACTGACGAACAGTCAAAAGTATGGAGGTATCTACAGCGCTACATATAATGCATATCCGAGTAATGGGAGGCAATATTTCAAGATGATTCCACTTACCAAATCGGGACCTTTATCACAAACGCACATAAATCACCAAAACATAGCATTACATATATGGTGTCGCCACAGGATAAAAGCTGTAACACAAAGACTGTGGCTTTATATTGATTTCGGTAACTAGCAGAGGAATCCAGTAACCTCGCCTGGTTAACTAGTTCACTAGTTACTAGCCGGTCCTAAGCCCGGGTAAAGAGGGAAGGTTGGGCATAGGGCTAGCAACCCTACCCTGCAAAATCAATTCAACCGCTACAGAAACTTCAGAGCACAAACACAATTATTCCTCGATGGAATTGGCGAGGCGAAATGACATCGGCTGGTGAAAGCCTTCGGGAAGCCAGTTGGCCGATGTATCTTCTCTCGATGAAAGTGGAAGTAAGGATTGGGATTTGGAATGTCCGCACTATATTTGAACCTAGCAAGGCTGCCCAGATTCCAAATAAGATGTGCAGGTATATTGTGGAAATGCTTGGAATCTGCGAGGAATCAGCAGATGGAATGGGAGTGGAATCTCCAAACTGTCAACTGGAGAGTCAATAATCTACTCCGATGTCGTCACCCAGCCGACAACCACGAGCACACTGAGTTTTCGAGTGGCTATCATGATGTCCCCCTCCCAAAACCATCGAAGGCTGTCATACAGTGGGAACCAGTCTCCTCCACGACCATGACAGCAAGATTCAACTCAAAAGGAAGAAAAGTCACAATCATTCAATCCTACGCTACGCACCTATAAATAATGCACATCAAGAGAAAAAGGAGGAATTCTACAGACAACTGGAATCAGTACTAGACAAGACTCCAGTTAGGCGACATCAAAATTCTAATGGGCGACATCAATGCCAAACTCGGAGCAGACAACACAGAAAGAGAACTAACCATGGGCCAAGAAGCACCCGGTGTAATGATGGATGACAATGGAGAACTGTTTGCAGATTTCTGCGCATTCAACGATTTGGTGAGAGCTATCTTGTCAAACTCCCGAAAAAAGGAGACCTAAGTCTTTCTAAGAACTGGCGCGAAATCATGCTGCTATCCACACCAAGCAACATATTAAGCCGCATCATCCTGGAGAGGCTAAAGGATGCACTGGATTCAAAACTACGACCAGAACAGGCTGGATTCAGGAAGTACAAATCATGTGCAGACCAAATTGCAACGCTACACTACGCATCATCATAGAAGAGAGTATAGAATGGCAGTCAACTCAACTCGACCTCAACTTCATCGACTTTGAAAAGGCCTTTGACAGCGTCGACCGAAAAGTAATTTGGCAGTTGCTTCAACACTACGGAATACCACAAACCTTTATCAATCTCATTCAACAACTATATATGAAGAGGCCACATGCCAGTCAAGTAATTCACAATGGAAAGCTCAGCTCAGTGATGCCTTCGAATCGAAGTGAAGACATGAGTAAAACAAAGCTGTCTACTATCACCCATGATCTTCCTGATTGTGGTCAACTGGACTGGATCATGCAACAAACAGTGAGGAGTGAGAAGAGGGGGATACACTGTCTGGAACGGGGAAAAGATCCCAGGAGATTTGGATTTCGCCGATGACTTGTGTCTAATGTCACACAAACCTGAAGATCTACAAGCGAAAAGTGACAAGTTGACAGAAGAGGTGAGGTAGGGCAGCGAAGGCGGAACTTATTTCATGTGAACGTAGAGAAGACAGAGGTGATGATGATACCCAACCAACGCCACCACCACCACCACCACCAACAACAACAAGCACCAATCACCATGAATGGGAGAGACTTAAAGGAAGTAGCCTCTCTCACTTATCTAGGCAGCAGTGTTTCAACTGCATAAGGTGGCGGCGGCACAGACGAGGACATCAAAGGCAGCCAGGATTGCAAAGCCAGCAAGACAGGCCTGCGTTCATTAACCTGAAACCAGTGTGGAGATCTTCTGCACTCAACATAAAGTGTGAACAAGATCCGGATTTTCAACACTAATTCAGTCAATTCAGTGCTTCTGTATGGTTCAGAGACTTGGTGCGTTACGAAAAGCGTTTCCAACAAACTGTAGACATTTATCAGCAGCTGCTTACGCTCACTTGATACTGACATTGAAGATCAGATGGCCAGAATAATAAGAATAAGCAACAAGGAACTCTGGCTAGCTGGCGAGGAACCAACCAAGAATCTATCACCCAACAAATATGCAGAAGGAAGTGGAGATGGATTGGGCATACGCTGAGACCATTCGTGGACATCACGTGTCAGGCCCTTGAGTGGAACCAAGATGTGAAACGATGAGTTGGGCATCCAAGGGTGATACCGAGGAGAAGGTGTGAGGAAGAAATGAGTGCTACTGGGCAGTTGTGGAGCCAGGTTAAGAAGATTGGAGAGAACAGAGTGTAATGGAGACGTCCTACTGAAGCCGTTTGTTCCACCAGGAACTTAAGGGACAAATAACAATATTATAATAATAGAGAAATCCAGCACGCGTGTTTCATACTGTTTGAAACTCGTCGGGTGGATGTACCTACATTGCAGTAAGTAATGTTGTCCGCACTGAGGCTCGAGTCCAATAGCCTTCACTTCAAACGATAGAGCATTATCCACTAAGCCACTGGGATGCGATAGACAACCACCGTGAAGCTGGATCCAATTGATAGTGTTTAACGACTATACAGCAAGGAAGGAAGAATAGCTGTGTAGTAAGTGTAACCTTCAGTAGACATTCAAACATCTCACCGGTGCTGCAAGTATTATCAGTTGTTGAGAGTCAATTAAACCCTTCAAATCAGAGTAGGGACTTCAGCGACCACTGAGTCATCGGGGCTTATTCGGGTTCCTTTGTAATCAAAGTGACCAACACCTTCAAGCATTATACTACTTACTGTAAGATGAGGCAATTATGCAAGTCAGTTCTGAAGCAAACGTTTAAGTATTAGAGGTTAGAAATGAACTTCAAGCCTTCTTGAATTGTAACTCAAAATGTTCTAAAAGAATCTATGTCACATCTGAGTCCTACCGTAACAGGATTGTATCTTACGCACACTGCAAGTTCACTGTGAAGTCGCCTGCGATGAGATCAGTTTCTTCATAGATAGACAAAAATGAGAAGACCTCCAGGATAACTGAGTGGTTATCCTTGATAGGAAATCACTTGAAGTAAACAACACACCCGATCGCTTACCTTAGGCTTTCACATGACCACAGTACTGGAGTTTAAAGCTTTTAATAGGTAGTGATTCACCTCTTAAATTATCATCTTAGTAAGAGATACTGACATAACTCGTTCAGACTGACGGTCTCAACGATACACCAATGATCATATTTGAAACCTACTTCGGCACTAGAGAAACAGAGACAGACAGACAGACAGATAAAACCAATGCAAAACCTCGTACAAAAGTGCATCGGTTCAAGTTGCCACACTTCGCAATAGCAAACAAAGAATTAGTCGATTTTAAAAAAATAATATCAAAGTGGAACAAAGTGTATAGGAGGATAAAGATTTTGCAAAATGAAGGGCAGTGAGTGTTCAAACCTTGAAAGATGCTAAAGAATGTGTACATGTGAGCCATTGTGAACGATTTCCAGCCATTTCATAAAGGTTTTCACACCACCGACTTCTATTATCTCCAGGACCCAAATTAAGAAGTATGGACCCTCTGCTAGGCTCACACCAACAGTCAGAGACTTCGTGGACTGGCGCCACATCTTGTTCTGGTTATCATAAGCCTTCTTCGGACCTAGTCTAACTTCGGCTAATATTGCATTTCAAACGAGGCAGCGGCTGAATATGCATAACATATGTACAGACCACCTGAGTTGTTGAAGGTTGACAACCTCATCGACTGTCTTACCTTCATAGCTTAGTACCCCTCAGTTAACCTCGACATAGTTCACATTATAATTCCACTGTACGTGAGCAATGGTTTGAAGGTAAATAAGGTCAAAAACCAGGAGCAGTCATGTCTCAGAGACGTATCATAGAGGACTGCAGCGTAGCATACTCATCCTGTATTAAGTAATCGGATAGATCATCGGAAGCAGAGATGCCATTGGTTGAAAAACCACAAAAAGGTCATTTGTATCCTGAATGAGATTTTTTCAGCAACCAACTAATTTGATCTGCTGCATCGTCTCAAGCAAGTGAAGTAATCGATACATTCTACCACTTCACTAGCCATCCTTGAACTAAGAGTTAGTGGAGACCAGTTCTGAAGCACCATCTTACATTTGACAAGTATGAAATGCGTGATAGACATACTTGGGTTTCTGCTCATGATGTTCAGAAGGCCCAGCATTTTGTCAGCATCTTTGCATACAACGAAAATGGTATCTGCGTAATCCAAATCAGACAGTTGTCCTCCTGGGAATAACTCATCCCGCATGAATTCGAAAGTGTCTAGGGCTGTATATTCATTAGGTCTTCATTAAGTCTTCGAAAAAGCTAAGTAGGAATGCTGATAGTGAGCACCTATGGTGGAAGCCATTGGCTGTATTCAATTCAGATGATAACTCCCCATAAGTCCTTGTATAGATGCATGAATTCGAATAGAGAGCTTTGATTAGCATTGCATACATCCTCAGCACTCCTTTCATAGTGAGACACTGACACAATACTTCTCAGTCGACAGAGTCGAACGCCATCTTCATGTCAAGAAATATGCCAGGTGGCAGGCATCAGTATTTATGCCTATGTTCCGAAACCTATCTAAGAGTGAAGATTTGATAGATGCACCGTCGTCTAGGTCTAAAGTTTGCCTGTTTTTCTCGAGTTCCAGTTAGTTATCGAATAACTACAAACTCTAGCATCTTGGATAAGATATTAGTCGAAGTGATACCTCTATGATCACCTCAAGAAGACTTCTCTCCCTTCATATACACTGGAGTGATCAGTGTAGATAAGTCTGATGGGAATACTTTCGATTCCGACACACTTCCTAATACCTCCATTAAACTACTCAATAATTTGCTAACTCCCTTCATAAAAACTCCTGGTATCAAATCGTCTGGTCCTGTTGCTTTACCTTTTCTGGGGTTCAAAAGAGCATTCTCAACTTCGAGGAAGGTTGTAGGATCGACATCTGCATCAAATTTAGGTTCAAACTGGATGCTGAAAAACTGCAACGGTGACTGTAAACCATTTGAGCTATGATTCAAAGTGTTCTGCCCAACCTTCCAGGAGTCTCTACTGAGGTGTGATCATGAACCCATCCTTTTTGCTGATTGTCTGACTAACGACAGTTTCCTCCTAACTAGTATCCTTATGAAGTTGAAACAAATACTGAGTATTACCTAATGTTGATGCCTTATTCACCGCCTTCACCATCCAGTAATCCCTATTATCATTCAAAAGACTCTTACCCAGTTTACGTTCGGGCTTATTTTCGTTCTTCATGGTGGTCAAAGTCGGTTAGAATCAGTCAGTTCGAGTGCCGTTAAGGAAAATGTTTGATTTTTCTAAATCTTCAGATCTAGATAGCCAACTGTCTTTACTGTAATTATTACAACAGAATGAATATCATACCAAGCTTCATCAGTAAGAGGATGGATACCATGTTCAGAGAATTGCTTAGCAATCTACCGCAAACTTCAAGTTCTCATCATCAGGTTCAGCAGACAGAATTTTACTTGATGTATGTTTCCTGAAATCAATAAGGTGCAGATATACACGTTCGCGTACAAATGCATGATTGGGGTTTAAACAGTCACTTAAGGTACTCTATTTTAACTTAGATCTAAACAAGATTTTACAGATTTTGAAGATGAAAATGTTGCAAAGACACGGTTTCTTCACTGAAATCTTTATTGTATGTCCTAATGGGGATTGTCAGTTTAATTAAGTTTGTCCTGATATGTTATATTGTTTAACTGTGTTCACTTCATGATAAAATATTTTGCAGTTAAACAAGTCATCCTATTATAAATAGATTTCGGAATGTTATCTTCACTGTATTTTAACCTGCATTGGGTCTATCTGCATCCCATTGAGTAATGGTATTCCCATTGAGATTTCAATCTAGTACCCACTGCCTCAAACACTAAAACGGTATTCAGTAGGTAATTGAGGCAAAAAGGCCACTCTCTAGTGCAGTGGGTATCACTTGTTATTTGTTGGTACTGCTAATTTCTTGTTCTTATACTTCATTGAATATGTCAACTTCTATTGACTGTACTTTCATTTTTAACTCTTGACTAAGTAACACAGGTAAATATATTCTTTGAAATCATACAATTATCGTTTTAGTATACAATGGTGAATAAACATTCATTAACTGCATTTTATGAACACTAAGCGTTTAGTTTTCATACATGCTGGAAATTCTGAGGTACCATAGAGTATATTTAGGCAATGATGGTGATCATTATTCAACAAGTGAAGTCATCTGGAAAATCTAGCTTCTATACACTGTTCATTGTTTACTAACCCTTGGACTGAATGAAAGAAATGGAGAGGTGTCTATTGTTTGACATAGCATTCTGGGATGAAGGATAATTGTATCTGGTTAGCATATGTTAGTGCATCACGACTCCCTCCCTGAGTGGGATCCGAGAGATTACGTAACTCAATGGCTAAAGACGTTATCATATATAGCACAGAGTAGAAACTAGTTGCGGTTATGCTGTAATGAATGTTTTGTTTTGAATGTATCCTACTGGACTGTCCTTTCAATTATTCTATTCTTATAGTGTTTTTCTTTCTTTCTTATCCAATACCCTCCCCTTAATGTCTTCAAAATAGTATTAAGTTATTTTTGTGGCTCATTTCTTGATGTCCTTGCTGTGCTACCTTTGTATTCTGATAATAATAATAATAATAACGAGAATAATAATAAATAATACACCTTAGAAATGGTCACAATCGAAGGAATTACAATCATATACATGTCTACGATATACTTCAAAGATTTCAATGTATATTACTCATTTATGTAAATGTTAAAGTGTTGACAAAGAGATGTGGGTTATTGGTGGTTTAGACAGTTGACTTCCAACCAATGGATTCGAACTTCGCTCCACTTACCAACATTCGTATCATTAGTGTCTAGACAACAAATGTAGCTTACTACCTACTATATGAAAATAGTTAGTGAATTCATTCTGATTTCTTTTTGGTAGCAGAGAGAGGAAATACCTCATTTTTTAAGTAGTATCTTTTGTCTTTTAAAAAAGGTACTATGAAATATTCAGAATAAATAAGAACGGGTTAAAAATGTCTACTATGCTACAATGTATTGATTGATTAAGCAAGAAAAGATAAATTCTGTTTACTTTGTTTTTAAAATGAAATATCTTACCTCCCCAATTTTCTAAGCTTAACAACTGAGGCATTTGATGTGCTAAATATGGAGCAATATGAAGTAGATCGAAAGTACGAACACGTGTTGCCAAAAGGGATTGATGTGCATCACGCATTGTAGTATCAGTGATTAAGAGATGTGAACATGCCTTGATAGCTTTAGCAAATGCAGTTGGTCCACCTTCCAATAGGATATCACGCCAACCACGTGGGATATGATTAGCTATAAAGTAGTAAAGCGCAATAATAATGATGATGATAAAAGAAATAAACTTAGTATTGTACAGTCGATAAATTGATGACTGTAAATAGATAATTGTACACCCTGATTAATCAATGGACAGCAAACTAGCGTTCCTGGAATCCAATCAATCATTTTGCAATGTGACTATCAAGCTAGGCCAACCTAACAACCAATCAGGTGACAGTATTTTGGCTGAGGAGACAATTTTTTATAAAATAGAGGAACGTGATTGGTCGTTTCGTTGGATGCTAGGGTGGCCTTGAAAGTCACTCTCAAACTAGAAGGCTAACCATTACGGTACACCTTCGGTTGGAGGCAATCGACAGGAAGTCCTATTTTTGACCTAGGTTTCATACTTGTTGGCACTCGTTAGCAACGAAAACTGGCACCCTCTTGGAAGTTCTAACCTGCGTCACTTCATGATGCAACTAATGACTTCACCACTGATTAATACAATTTTACTTTCTTTGAAATAAGCCTGAAAAATACATGTTTTTCCCACTAAAAGCTCTCACTCTGTTATTCAACTCTTACTTATGGTAACGATGATAGCCATTCCACTCGAATAGTGATTAGATCGAAAGAAAACTGAACTTACCATAAGAAACTGGTGGTACAGTCGGTTCGACATCAGATGGGCTGAGCTTTGTAGCTAACAAGGTAGATGGTCCATTAACCATTGTATTACCTATGAAAAAATTTAAACAAAGACAGAATGGGTATATAATAAATATATTGATAATATTGTACACAGTTTAAGAGTGAGCAATAACAAAAGATAAGCTTCTCAACCCATAAATAAAACAAACAAACAAGTGACTTATAAACTTGTATTGTCTTGATCGATTACTAAGGAATTTCGGAAACTAAATGCACTTTGTGCTTATTCATGCAGTAAGCAATGAGTAACATCTATTATGTAGGGGTTTATGATACCACTTGGTTGCCAAAACCTTAGAAGGCGAAGACACATTCAAAATCGTGACCCATCTTCTTAAAAAAGAAATCTATCGGTCGGTACAGGCAAAAGTACCAAAAAAAACTGATACACTACAATACAATCATTACACATACATATGGATGCAGTCGATTAGCTAACAAAAGTCTGATCATAATCTTTTTAATTTTATCTGTTTTCTAAGGCTACAGAGATGACAGTGTGATACATAGCTCTGATATATATATATATATATATATATATATATATCAGACTATTATTGATGCATAACAGTGGGATCTACCTTGACGAATGTTTCGTCCTATTTCAGACTCGTCAGATAGATATATTTGTCTCCTAAGAGTGATGTTGTTCCCTCTAAGACTCTAACCAAAGATGGATCACTTCAGAAGCTAGGACGAAGATAGCAAATGCTTGTGCAATGAGTATATAGTAGTTTTGATGCTATAACTTGTAGCTAGTCGATAATATCGAGGTATCCGTAAAAAAGCCCATATGCTAATGATAGCCAATCAATTCAGTCGAACCGATGACAAAAACTTACAAGAAATAAAACAGATAAGTTGATCAGCATTTCATAGAATTACCTATATAACGAAGTAGCTTTTGAGCACGTTGTTTTGAAGCTGGTAAATTGAAGAGATCAGGGTGTTCATCAATGAAGTAAGTATCCACAACACCAGTTAAAAACTTTTCATGTTTCACCACATTCATAAGAAATGGAATATTTGTCTGGTAGTTGAAGTATTACACACAAAAAGTAATAAAAAAATATTTTACTTAGTGATTATAAATGATGGAAGATTAGCTAAAACAACAGAAAACTTGAACAATCGGTTTATGATATTACCATCAAGGTAATCATCAATCGATTAACTAACTATATCCTTTCAAATTGGTATTCATCGTAGACTGACATCAGTTGGAGGAACAAAGGAAACCTGGGAGTACTGGACAGCTGTTTCGTCCCAGTATGGGACTCTTCAGTAGTGCACACCTACAACCCCGCCAGGGATCGAACCCGCGACCTTCAGGTTCCGTGATCAGAATCCAATGGTTCCGTAATTCCAACTTTTGTTATCTTACTATATCCTACTAATAACTAGTTAGTCATAAATATCTCATTTCAATCACAGAAGGTTATATGAATCTGTTTATCATGAAAAACAACATTACAACAACCTATTCATACTGTCTCATTTGAGTTAGAGGATGACAGTAAGTGACCAATAATGAATTTACACTCAGTCAACTTTTGTTGGTAGATCTAACATCAAAAGGTATATCAGACAAGCGAACTCAAAAAAAAGAACCTAATACTATCGTTAAGAAAACCACTACTTGAAGGTAGGTATGTTTACACAAAAACGTGTAAGAATTGAAGGAATCCATAAGCTGGCCACAAATGAAAATGAAACAAGCAAATAAAAGTTGGCAAATTATGATAAAGTTACTAAAATTTCAGCCAAAAAACAAATCATGAATTGATATCAGTTAGAGAACTATTAAAAAACACGAGAGCAATAGATAGTTGTTTCGTCCAAGTATGAGATTCATCAGAAACACATACCCAGACCTACTCTGAAGATTGAACTTAAGACCTATATGGTTTCGTGATGAATATGCTAACCATTCAGCCACCGGAAGATATTTCAAGCTGAATATCCCTTAAGTTTTAATCAAAAGCAGTGGCCTGTAGAGTGAAGTAGACGCCAACTTGAGACTTTCATGGATAGTCAAGCTACATCGAAAACCAACAGAAGTAGGCAGCTAAATAGCCAGTGCGTTCGATGTGAAACCTAAAGGTCATGAGTTCGATACCTGGCGAGGTCCTGGGTGTGTTTTTAACTTTAACTTTAACTTACATATATATATATATATATATATATATATATATATATATATATATATATATATATTTCTAATAATAACCTACCTTAACACCGTGTATTCGAAATTCTGCAAGTGAACGTAACATTTTCTTAGCTGCTAAACGAAAATCATGTGCACGTGCAATCACTTTAACTAATAAAGAATCATAATATGGTGAAATGATTGCACCAGCAAATGCTGATGCTGAATCTAAACGAATACCCATTCCTTCACCACTTTTGAAAACCTAAAAAGAAGAGAAGAGAAGAAAAAAATAATGAATAGGAATATATTTGATATTAAATGAAATTTATTTCTTAACAAGAATAGATAACAATTAAAGAACCACAGAAAAGAAATAATGAAGATATGCTTACAGCTTTACCACAGCTCACAGAATAAACGCTATCATCTAACGAATAGAGAAGTAAAAACATCGCCAGTCACTGGCACAATTATATGTTTCACAGCATGAAGCAACTCAAACTATGCTAAAGTCTTAAATAATTGCGTAAGTCCCATTTAACAATAATTAGTAACAGAGCATAGAATAGCGATCAACTCAACTCAACCTCAACTTCATCCACGCTGAAAAAGCCTTTGGCAGTGTCGACTGGGAAGTACTTTGGCAGCTACTTGAACACTACAGTTTCAGTGCCAAAAACCTTTATCAACCTCATTCAACACCACCTATATGCTATATGACGACGCCCGCCACATGCCAAGTGATTCACAATGGAAAGCTGCTCAGTGACGCCTTCGAAGTGAAGACAGGAAGGAGTAAGATAAGGTTGCCGCCTACAATCACCAATCATCTTCCTGATTCTGGTAGACTAGACTAGACTATGCATCAACCTGTGAGGAGCAAGAAGATGGGCCTACCCTAAAAGACAATTTATGTCTAATGTCCTGCCCGTCGCACAAACTCGACGATCTACACGCGAAAACCAACAAGTTGATAGAAGAGGTGAGGCTGCGAGAGAAGAAGGGACTTCCTTCAGGTGAACAAAGAGAAGACAGAGGTGACAGGGAAGACATCCAACCACCACTAACAACAACAAGCACCAGTCACCATCAACGGGAGAAACCTCAAGGAAGTAGTCTCTTTCACCTACCTACCTAACTACCTAACTACCTGTCTAGGCAGCATCATTTCAACTACAGGCAGCAGCAGAGGAACACATGAGGACGTCAAACCAGCCACGATCGGAAAGACACCAAGACAAATCTTCCTGCATTAATCTGAAATAATCAATGTGGAGATCTACTGCACTGCACTTCACTCAGCATAAAGCGTGAATAACATCGAGATTTCCAACACTGGTTAGATGAAGGTTAGTGTGAATATTCAACCTTTAGAAGGCGTCAACCGATTTCTAACCATGTCCCTAAGACTCATCAACCACTCATTCCTTCCTTCTCGAGGAGCCTAACCAAGCAGTCCACATCTCCCCACACGGCTCAGATCAACAGTTAGGGACCTCATCAACAAGTGCTAGGTTTTGATCTGGCCACCCTGAACCCCCCTTCAACCTAATTCAACTTTCTTTAGTATAGCACGTCTAGATAGGTGGTGGATCGGCATGTGGAGTAGATGTCCAAGCCATCTCATTAGACTAAGGTTCACACCTTCATTAATCGAATTGCTTGTCATGCCTAGTACCCTTTGCTAGACCTCAACATCGACCGAACATGAGCAATCATATGAAGATACCAATGACTTTTTCATGTCGCCTACTTTTAACGGGCATATATCACGGTCGTACAACAGGACAGAATAAGCTGCAGAGCAGTATACTCGTTCTTTGACAGACAGCTGGATATCTCACCAGCACAGGTGATGCAAGTTGATAAATGTCAAATGGGCCTTTCATAGCTGAGGTGGGAATTCGAAGATGTAAACGATTACAGTCAATTGTTATCCTGGCCCTAGTGTGTGCTAGACACCACTATGCATGACAGTTTAAATAGAATTGGGAATGTATGTACTTAACAGTCTCTCGTTTCACAACTTACTTCAATACGTCCAGAATCAGGTTGAAAGTTTTTAGCTGGGTCTTCAGTAGTTATACGACATTGTATTGCATAACCATGAGATCCAATTTTACTCTGACATAAATTAAGATCTTTCAGTGAACAACCCTCAGCTAGACGGATTTGGGATCGTACAAGATCCACACTGATGAAAAAAGATGGAAATGAAAAAAATGGGGAACAATATTGATCAATACTGTCTAGTCTATTTATGCATACAATTATTAGTTCCAACCTTAAGAAAGAAAACAAAGTTGTTTCGATCTACGGCATATATATATGGATGATATAATGAGCCGACGCGATACGATTAACGATAGAACAATGACTTCTTAACACCATACTCAACTGAAATCACAAGAAGAAGAATAGGACGAATATATTTGAAAGTCCAGTCGCTTATATACGTTTCTAAGGATCTTGAACAGGAAAAACAAAACAGCATATTTAAAGTGTAAAATGAACCAATCAGCATTGCGTATCTTAAACCGCGGTAAAAATAAATAACATTGTGTGAAGTGGGATAGGCGCGAAAATAGGGTTTAAATTTTACAATGGAAATATATGCACATTATAAATTGATTTTTTTAGGGATCAGATATCCCTAAGAAAAGTCATAAACAGGATGATCAATCTGCAAATGATTTACAAACTCCATAGTCCACGTTATCGTTTCTCATAGCCGAGTAGTTTCTCTGTTATGGTATCAGCAAGGTTAGCCAAGATAATAAGGCATAATTTCTGACACAAAAGTGTGCAGTTAGAAATTCACAGACTAACGTGGGTAGTTTCTATCTACTCACTTTGTTCAATAGTATGCTTCCGAAGTCATAAATACTAACAGAAAAGTCCCTTAATAAAAATTACTCATTACTAATAATTTCTACCAGTTAAACTTTAAGGAGATCTTGTTAAACAATACGACGTATAGCTGCTCGCCAACGCCTGTTCAACATATTTGAGGCCATTGTAATTAGATAACATTGCTAACCTAAACATTTGTTGCACAGAGAATAAATATAGCCAATCAAATACTATACAACTGAAATGCATAATCTGTACATTGATTGATCACTGGAGATTGAATAACTTCATATTGTCTAGACCTGTGTGCTGATCAAATTCTATCACTCATTTTGCAATATGGCTAGGCGACTCATCATGATGCACTCTGATAGATGTTTGTTGGATGGAGTCACCAGAAATCTCTCCTCGACTAAAGTTCCATTTTTTTTGGCACTTGTCAAGAAGGCGCATCTGTAACCTGGACGGAATTGATTTCCTGCATGAGATTCTAACCTATATCATCCAATAATGCAATCAGAGATGCTACCACTAAGCTATTACGAGGAGAGGAAAAAATGACTAGTCTGGAGAGGAATCAGTCAAATTGTCTCATCTGTATTGTGTTCTCTGACCTGGGTTGTTCTTGAGTGTTCATTTGAGCATGATGTCTCTTCTGCCTGGTTAGTGGTGCGATTGTTTGTCGTATTTCTTGTTGAGTGAGCACATTTAACCTTGATGTTTTAAGTGAGGATTCTAATGCTGCAAAGAATTCTGGTTTCGAGGCATTTCTTGTGTTGTATGTAATTCAATTCTTTTTGAAGAAGACGTTCTTCCATTTTTGTTAGTGGTTGTTTTGATAAGTTGCCAACACAGTCATTTGTTTCCTTGGTTCTAGGTGCTCCTAAGGTTTTGAGAAGCATTTTCCTGAGGACTTTTTTGAGTTGTTCTTTGTATCGTCTGCTTGATTTTTCAATTGCTGTTGTCAAAATTCTCATGTGCTGTTTCGTGAGTATGCTTTCTAGTTTTCTCTTTTGATTGTTAATCACTGATTGGCTTTTACGGATCTGATGGTGTGAATCTGTGATCATCAGTTGCATTATTTGTTTCCCACTTTGTTCAGCTATTTTCCTTCCCAATGGACATTTAATCGGTGGTCTACATCTGACACTCTTTGGTAGAACATGCTGACCTAGGCAGTCATGGAGAAAGAATAGTTGTTCTTTTGTGGAAGCCTACCTTTTGTAGAAATCCTCCCATCGTCGAACAACGTGAAGCGTGTTACGCTTGTACGATTTTAAAATAGTGGAGAATATTCGTAGCTCAGGTGGACGGTCTCGGTTGTATTGTGTTCTCTGAGCAATCAATATTATTACTTTAAACATTAAACTATTTATATATTAGATATATTTTCCTTTGTTTTGGATCTTCGGTCTTTCAACCCAGATAAACGTTTCTACACATCCATCGTGTCTTCTCCATTGATTAATCGAGTAGGGAATCAACTAGGAATTTGTTGAATGTTGGTGGCTGACACTCAATATGCATGAATCATTAGTTAGTCATAGCACATAGAAGTTTTCAATCCACAACAGTTATATACAGGCCACAATTGACCTCCTGTAGGATGGGATTACATAGATTGACTAATCTTATATGAGTGATCAAATTCACTAGATCAGTTTTCAAATAACATTTTGTTAGATAAAATATTATCCGATAGTATATTTAACTCCTCATTCTTTATTCTGAATATTTATAGTACGATATGTAAATGGAATTATTGAATGAGGTCATACATAGAGAATGAAATATTTTCGTCCATTGATGTACAATACTTTCAGCCAACATCAACAGTTATTTAAATTCGATAATGTATTTATATATGTTTATGCATAAGGATAAACTGTTACAATGGATAAAAATTATTTCGTCCAGAGTAATATTAAACTATGAACTGTGAATACATATATATATATATATATATATATATATATATATATATATATATATATAACTAAACAGTCAAACAAGATGACATCAGCTTTCCGAATATATATATATATATATATATATATATATATATATTCAAGCTAAGACCACGTAATCATCTGACTAGCTTGTATGTATATTAATATGGATACCGTTTACACAGTTGAACTCATGACCCTTACAACATATGACATTTTTGAAATACTGAACCAGAGTTAATTTGGGTCATATTTTCAACTTCAATTATTCTTTGATTACAATGATAAAATGGAATTGATTTTATATACATATTGGTAACTAGTAGCGGAATCTACCTTGAAGCGCGTTTCATCCTACTTGGGACTCGTCAGCTAATAGATATACATACACCCAAATAAGTGATATTGTTTTCACTGGGACACAAACCCGAGACATCACAGCATTATCCACTACGCCACTGGGATACAACGGGTATTAGTAGTTGTTTTAATGGTTGTAATTACCCATTGTTCGACCTCTGTCCATGTCAAATATTAAAGTAAATATTTGTAAGCCAAAAAAGTTTCTACAAAATCATTTCAGTAAACAGATATAAAATAGCCTCATAACAAATAACCGAGATTGTGAGAAAATTCTTGATTTCTAAGCTAACCAAAAGATTTATGACAGTGGGAATAGATATGATCCCAGTAAACAAGGAAGGTTGCATTACAAATGAACTGTGGTTCAGAAAATAAATACCTGTAGAGTCACAGTAAGTAGTTCAGGCACGAACATAATCCCTTCAAAGAATATAGGTATCAGATGCAATCTAAAGATTGATGGTAGGGGATGTCAGTTACCTCGAGGTTGCAGATACGCCTTGCTGACGAGTGTTATAAAAGCATGAAACCTAGGTTCACGGTTTCTTGCCAATTACCTCCAACTAAATAACATCTATCCAAGTGCACCACGATGCTGAGGCTCCCAGCTTGATGGCTACATTGCAAAAAATGATCGATAGAATACGATCAGTAAACAAGTCTAGACAAGATGAAATTGGTTGCTCCCTAGTGATCAATCACTGTGTCTGATCCAGTCCTATACCAGCTGAGTAGTTGCATGAATAGCTGAGTGGTAAGGTGGTTGACTACAGCACTGGATGATAGTACAACAATTCAGAAGAGTAATACAGGTTAGCTTAACGCTGTTCCACACACTCATCTGGATACCACATCATTTTCGGCTTAAAAATACACCTAAATTATTGTATGATCCATGATCACTGAAATCATCCCAAATAACTAAGATTATATTACTTTATTTCAAACAAAGTAGAAGTGTATATAAATAACTACCATCACTTCGTAAATAGAAATGCGAACGGGTAGTAAAGCATTTCCATATATCTAGCATGATGCGTCAGTATCATCGAAGAAGCAGACAGATGTCCAAATATCATACATGTGTAGAATCTAATCAAAAACCTACATAGAAACCCTGTGCACATTTGTGCAGTTGGCAATCGGCTACAATTATAGTCTAAGGGTAAGTGATAGTACCTGGCTTTCTAAACGTCGGTAGATGAAGCCGGTTTCGAACCTATGACTCATCGATTAGAAGCTGATTGACAAGAACAATGAGCCACAGATGCTATACATGGGTTAAAAGATCCAATGATCAAAAACGTTAGGTCATCCACACACACACACACACCATCTGAAGTGGAATTCCATTGGTAGCTGGTAAACGTTGATTGGTCCCTTTGTAGTTATCATCACCAACTACAGTTGGTTGAGGAATGATGGAAAACCCAGAAGTACTGGACAGTTGTTTCCTTCTAGTTTCTGACTTTTATCAGTACGTACCCAGGATCTTCAGATTTCGCGGGCGGTATGCTATCAGTCAGCTACTACGTTACAATTTTGTATTAGTGAAACCACCATTCATCGCAAACAGAAGGTATTCGTTACGAAAACCAACTCAGTCAACCTTATTCGTTATAGCATCTTATTGAAACCTTGAGAAATTTATTCTGACGATCTTCCTGGTTGTAGTCGACTGGACTGGATCATGCAACAAACAACTGTGACGAGCGAGAACAGGGGTATACACTAACTGGACACGAAAAGACTCCACGAGATAATTTACATTTCCCAGATGATGATTTATGTCTAATGTCTTGCCCGTCACATAAACTCGAAAATCTACACGCGAAAACCAACAAGTTGACAGAAGATGTAACGAAAACGGGACTTCCTTCAGGTGAACAAAGAGAAGACATAGGTGACAGGGAAGACATCCAACCAACAACAACAACAAGCACCAAGTACAACCAAAGGAAGAAGTCTCTCTCACCTACCACCTAGGGAGCATCGTTTCAACCACTGGTGGCACAGATGAGGACGTCAGGCCTTGATCAACCTGAAACCAGTGTGGAGATCTACTGCACTCAGCATAAAGAACAAGATTCAGATTTCCAACACTAATCAAGTCAATTCAGTGCTTCTATGTAGTAGTTCAGAGACTTGGCGCGTCACAAAAAGCACTTCCAACAAACTATAGACATTCATCAACAGCTGCCACCTACGCTCACTCCATACTGATATTGAAGATCAGATGGCCAGAAAGAATAGGCAACAAAAAACTCTGGCTGGCAACGAACCAGCCAAGAACCTATCGCCAAACGAATATGCAGAAGAAAGTGGAGATGGATTGGATTGGGCATGCACTGAGAAGACCATTTGGGGACATCACGCATTAGGCCAAACCCTCGATTGGAACTCAAAGGGGAAACAACGAGTTGGGCGTCCGAGCAGATGGTGACATGGAGGAGATAGCGTGAGGAAGCAATGAAAGGTTGTGGGGAGTGGTGGAGTCAGGTTGGAAAGACTGAAGAGAAGAGAGTGAAATAACGACATGCTATTGAAGCTTCTATGTTCCCCCAGGAACCCAAAGGACAAATAATAATAATGATAATAATCATAATATTCTATTTATAGAACAGGGAAAAAGTGGTGAAGGTAACCGTTGAAAATCTCTCCTCTATTTCAATATTACCATCTGTTAGATATCAAATTCAAGTTATAAAAATGAAAGAAATTATCCAAAATTATGAATTATTCAGTATATAACTAACCCAGTTATTTCTTCAGTAACTGTATGTTCCACTTGAAGGCGTGCATTCACCTCAATAAAATAATAATGTCCAGCTTTTTGATCATAGAGAAATTCTACGGTGCCAGCATTTTCATAGCTATAAAAAAAGTAGTGAAACAAGAAGAGATAAAGAAAGACAGGAAATCTCTATAAAATTTTGATACAACTAAGATTTATTAATTAAAAAATGTTTATATTGGTAATATAAGAGTTAAACTTGGACACTGTGGTAGATTGCGGTTCTATTTTAGTCTGCGTACTGTATGCACTACATAATGATTACGTTTCGGACACTATTTGTGATGTATATTCTCATATCAAGATAACTCTACAACTTAATGACAAGGTTAACATAGTTCTAATTTTCTCGCCTCTTTTGTCATATAGTTTGTAGGATTTTCTTTCTATTCAGAACACATACTGAATCTTTCAGGTTGTTATTCATCGAAGACTGACATCAGTTGGAGGAAAAAAGGAAACCTGGGAGCACTGGACAGCTGTTGCGTCCTAGTATAGGACTCCTCAGCAGTGCGCACCCACGACCCCACCAACTGATGTCAGTCTTCGATGAATAACAACTTGAAATATTTCCAAATCTCCACAACCCCCTCAAAAAAAAATTTAATCATACTGAATCATTTCTGTCACATATATTAGGTGTTAATCAGATAAATAAAGATTCAGTTACCGATCTCTCCCTACATCTTGTTATGTTAGTTTGTATGCATAACTATGATCGAGTAATTTTCTCACTTCCTTATCTTATTAGGATCTATTTATTTTGATCTAACTAGGTTTATGCGCTAGGATAAGTTGATTGACTCTATTCGACTACTTTGAATTTGCATTCGTTGTTAGGGATTCGGTTAGTTATTCTGCCTATTTGCATCAGTAGGATCTTTTAACCTAAAAAGCTTATTTCTAAAAGGGTTTATAGGTTTAAATACTACTCTAATCCTAGTCAGCCTTAATGAAAATCCTACGTTGTGTTTTTGAGGTGTCTTCTTTTCATGGCAATATTGTAGATGTTTTGAATTCTCTCTTCACAGTATTGCCACCATTATTATTACTAGTAACATCACTATTACTACTATTCACACTTGTGTTGCTAACATCAGTCATATTTTTCTTACGGTTTCGGAGAGTAACTGGTGATTACTAATATACGCTAAATCTATCTGATTTCTTGTCATAGATCTTCTGTTTCGCTAGTGCATCTTCTAGCCTGTAACTGATATAGGATGGGACGATTTGAAGTCAAAGTAACGATTCTAGAGAGACTAGTGTCTAAACACTCATCTGGTTGTCGTTTAATCCTTCAATCTAACATCACTAATTCCCCTTCACCATACCTCAATTCATAAGTGAATTCGATTGCACTGGCTATTATTATTTTCAACGTGGCTCCACAACTGCCCAGTAGCTCTCATTTCTTCCTCACACCATCTGCACGCACACCCAACTCGTCGTTTCCCATCTGGGTTCCACTCAAGGGCCTGGCACGTGATGTCCACGAATGGTCTCAGCGTATGCCCAATCCATCTCCACTTCCTTCTGCATATTTGTTGGGTGGTAGATTCTTGGTTGGTTCCTCGCCAGCTAGCCAGAGTTCCTTGTTGCTTATTCTTATTATTCTGGCCATCTGATCTTCAATGTCAGTATCAAGTGAGCGTAAGCAGCTGCTGATAAATGTCTACAGTTTGTTGGAAACGCTTTTCGTAACGCGCCGAGTCTCTGAACCATACAGAAAAACTGAATTGACTGAATTAGTGTTGAAGATCCGGATCTTGTTCACACTTTATGTTGAGTGCAGAAGATCTCCACACTGGTTTCAGGTTAATCAACGCAGGCCTGTCTTGCTGGCTTTCAAATCCTGGCTGCCTTTGATGTCCTCGTCTGTGCCGCCGCCACCTTATGCAGTTGAAACACTGCTGCCTAGATAAGTGAAAGAGTCAACTTCCTTTAAGTTTCTCCCATTGATGGTGATTGGTGCTTGTTGTTGTTGTTGTTGGTGGTGGTGGTGGTGGCGTTGGTTGGGTATCTTCATCACCTCTGTCTTCTCTACGTTCACATGAAGGAAGTCCCGTCTTCGCTGCTCTACCTCACCTCTTCTGGCAACTTGTCACTTTTCGCTTGTAGATCTTCAAGTTCATGTGACATAAGACACAAGTCATCGGCGATATCCAAATCTCCTGGGATCTTTTCCCCGGTCCAGACAGTGTATCCCCCTCTTCACACTCCTCACTGTTTCTTGCATGATCCAGTCCAGTTGACCACAATCAGGAAGATCATGGGTGATAGTAGACAGCTTTGTTTTACTCATGTCTTTACTTCGATTCGAAGGCATCACTGAGCTGAGCTTTCCATTGTGAATTACTTGACTGGCATGTGGCGTCTTCATATATAGTTGTTGAATGAGATTGATAAAGGTTTGTGGTATTCCGTAGTGTTGAAGCAACTGGCAAATTACTTTTCGGTTGACGCTTTCAAAGGCCTTTTCAAAGTCGATGAAGTTGAGGTCGAGTTGAGTTGACTGCCATTCTATACTCTGTTCTATGATGATGCGTATTGCAGCGTTGCAATTTGGTCTGCACATGATTTGTACTTCCTGAATCCAGCCTGTTCTGGTCGTAGTTTTGAATCCAGTGCATCCTTTAGCCTCTCCAGGATGATGCGGCTTGATATGTTGCTTGGTGTGGATAGCAGCATCATTCCGCGCCAGTTCTTAGAAAGACTTAGGTCTCCTTTCTTCGGGAGTTTAACGAGGTAGATTTCGTCGACTATTGAATTTATATATGTAAAGAAATCGTCTGTGCTCCGGCTTCAAAGCTGTAAACATGTCATCTACATGTAGAAAGCTTTTTACGTCAACCCCTTCTGTTTGATTTTGAAACTTTAAGATTATGAAAATGAAACATACCTGACCTCCCGACACATTCTCATCCAATGGTACCTTGGAAATAAGCTCAATAATCATCATAAGCACGAAAGCTGAATTAGATCGAAATCGATAGATTCTAGTAGAATAATGAACACAGAAGTAAGCTGGGCTATAGATAGACATGTGATTACTCACAACCGTACAATAGAAAGGGACAGAGTGACAATCCTTAAAACGGACGGATAAGTTGATAACCCAGTCTTTATTTATCGAGTCAACATCAAATACATGCAACAGGAATGATTCAGTATCTGTTTCGGATATATGCAAAATCCTACTACTTATATCACAAAGAAGGGAAGAGAATTAGAACTATATAAGTCATATCTTAAAGTTGTGGAGTTATCTTGATATGATAATGTCCAAATATTATTTCTATGCGAATGACTATGGACAGCAAATTGTGTTGGCAGCGTAACCCAGTAGGTACTACTGTCACATTCTGTGATAAAATCTGAAAAATCAGCTAAAATGGAATAACATTCTACCCCACTGTTCAAGTTCCACTCTTATTTTGATGAAAGTCATGTACTTATATACCCATCACCATCGTCATCATCATCAAGATCAACATAGGACCAGGCGGGCATTACTGCATAACGGTCCAAGTTGCTAGATCTTATGTCAGCTCACTAAGTAACAAAGCAATGAATTGGAAGAAGAAAAACTTCAGTACAAAGTTAGTTCTGATGATGTCGTCTAAAAGGAAGATGAAAGCTTCACGATTAAACAACCCAGCTCAGAGAACACAATACAACCAAGACCATCCATCTAAGCTACAAATATTCTCCACTATTTCATAATAGAATTTTCCATATATCTGGAACAGTTGAGAAGTTACTCCTGTGAACCGCATTGAACATTAATTCAATAAACAAGGATTCAGTTATCAATGTGTACCTCCGTCTCAACAGTTGTGAGTAGTTGTATTCATGGCTATGGTTATGGTTTCTTATAGATTACTTATCTTACTAGCATCTATCTATGTTCGGATAGCCTAATTAACCAAACGCGGTCGACTGTTTTCACCTACGTATTTATTTCACAACCTTCAAGTCATCCCAAAGGATATGATAAACTACTTTATTTTGCTTAATTGGGTCAATAGAATATTTTAATCTACAAATGTTATTTCGAAATGAGGTTTTTAAGTCTAAATGCCACTTTAATCCCAGCTTTATTATTGACTTGAAGATATCAAAAGGTAACACAGATAACAGATGTCAATTAGTCAACAAATCACATATAAGTGAGACTGTACTACTGCTGCTCAGTAACCTTGTGTACACTTGTGTAGTAGGCAATGTACTACACCTATTGTGTGAGGACGGTGTCCAAGCCTGCCACTCATCATTGGTTGACAGTCAATCCACTAAATCAGTGACCTACAACTTCACCCACTGTGATACATTTGGAATAGAGAGTATTTTTCTCACTGGATATTATTAGCACACATCAAATGGTGGAGAGCATAAAAACATACAGTGTTTGGGTTTCCCTTCACGCTACTACCCATCACAGAGATGAAAAACACAATGTTTTGGTTAGAAATCTGAAGATAATCAGATAGGCATATTCAAGTTTATTTGGTACACATACTGGCCAACTTTCCTAAACTACTTACGTATAACTTACACAACTGACGGGTAAGAGGGTCAAATCTTTAACATATCCTGTTTATAATGGCTAACAGGTAAGTAAAATTAGTCACCAACCTGTCTGTTTAATGTTCTTAAAAGACAAAGGAAATAGTACATTAAAAGATGAAGATAATTTTATTTTTATTGACTTCTATGACCTTGAATCATCTAGAAGGGTTGACATGACCTTGGCCGTCACCAGTAACAACACTACGTAATAACATTCATAAATGTATAAGTGAACAGGTTAAACAAATAATTATTGGGAATCAGCGATCGTTCAGATATTTCCCTCTCTATGCATTCATTAGTTATATTCATTCAAATACCTAGGTGATAGGAAAATATTCAAATATTTGCAAATGATCCACGTTGATATTTCTCATGGATGAGAAATTTTTCAACACTTCAACTATGATTTTAACAATATTGAACAACCATTGAATAATATGAATAGTTGGGAATCATTCAGATTAATCTGTTGACTTCAAAACAACCAGCCAAATTAGAGAGTAATCTAAGTACTAGCTGACAATATCGAGTACATGAAGCTAACTTGAATCTATTGGTATAATATAAACAGAATCATCATCAATTTGCAAATGATTTACAATTGCATGGTGCAAAATTAAAGTAAGCGACATGAATTTGAAGGAAGAACAAATATATTTCAGAGACAAGTCTTTTCAATGATTTCATTTTCAAAGCTTAATAATCGCAAATTTATACACTTTTTTAGTGTAAGGGATTTGATAGTTAAAAACGGTTTGTCAAGCATGGTAGGCAACATAAACAGTGTCACTAAATGATCTGTCATTAAAATCAAACTGATAAGTAATGAATGTTAATCAAAATCAGTTTGAAGAAGAAGTTTGGAGACTGAATTATGATCAAGCAGAAACATAACAATAAGAATGTGTAACAAATTAATTAAGATATGAATAGTGTCGAAACAGAGAAAAAAGAAAAGAAAAAATGAGATGGTGGAGAAGAAGAGACTGATAATCATGAAAAGAGAAGGGATTAAACAATCTTTTTTTGTGTACACACTTCAGGCTTCTCTATTTAGATGGCAAGATTTCGATTATGCACAGAATATGAAGACATACAGAATTCGGGAGGTTTCTGCTAATGACGTTTGTTGATACATTGGTTAAGATAGCAAACTCTGGCTCTAACGACAAGGTATCTAATTGTAACTCGGAAAGTAAGACTGAAGAATGATTGAATAATAAACCTTTTGTAATATCGGGACGTCAGCTCGGGATTTTCATAGATTTGAGACTATTTATTAGGCTTTATTGAACTCATTTTATTCGCAACTTAGTATCTGCAATGACATATTCAGTGAACGATAATAGTGAACAAGGGTGCCCACTATCACCAATCATCTTCTTGATTGCCATCGACTGGATCATGCAACAAACAACTGTGACGAGCGAGAACAGGGGTATACACTAACTGGAAACACGAAAAAACTCCACAAGATAATTTACATTTCCCAGATGATGATTTATATCCAATGTCCTGCATGTCGCAGAAACTCGAAAATCAACACGCGAAAACCAACAAGTTGACGGAAGATGTAACGAAAACGGGACTTCCTTCAGGTGAACAAAGAGAAGACAGAGGTGTCAGATGAAGATAGTCAACCATCACCATCACCACCAACAATAACAAGCACCAAACACCATAATTGGGAAGAACCTAAAGAATGTAGTCTCTTTCACCTACCTACCTACCTAACTACCTAACTACCTGTCTAGGCAGCATCATTTCAACTACAGGCGGCAGCAGAGGCACACATGAGGACGTCAAACCAGCCACGATCGGAAAGACACCAAGACAAACCTTTTTGCACTAATCTGAAATAATCAATGTGGAGATCTACTGCACTGCACTGCACTGCACTGCACCCAGAATAAAGCGTGAACAACATCCGGATTTTTAACACTAGTGTCAATCAGGTAATTGGGTGCTTCCATGTGATGGTTGAGAGACTTGGCGTGTTACGCAAAGCATTTCAAACAAACTGCACACATACATCACATCGACAACTGCCGCCTATGCTCACTCCATAGTGGCACTGAAGGTGGAGATCAGATGGTGAGAATAATAAGAATAAGCAAGAAAGAAACTCTGAAAGGCAACCAACCAACCAACCAAAATCATATCGCCCAACAAATGTGTAGAAGAAAGTGTAGATGGGTTGGATTGGACAAACACTGAGAAGACCATTTGGGGACATCATGTGACAGGTCAGCCAGACCCTCGAGTGGAAGCCAAAGGGGAAACGACAAGTTGGGAGTCCGAGCCGATGGTAACATGGAGGAGATTGTGTGAGAAAGAAGTGAATGATCGTGGGTAGTGGTGGAGCCAGGTTGACAAGACTGGAGAGAAGAGAGTGAAATGGCAACGGTGGCGTGCTATGTTTCCCTAGGAACCCAAGAGACAAATAACAAAGCAATAATAATAATTAAGTGAATAGTTTTTGTTCATTGGTAACAATTTGAAAAGTGAAAAGGATCATTGTGAGATGTTTCATTCTAACTCTTGGATGCATGGTATGATGGAGTCAATATGGTTCATTGCCTGACGTGTGAGAGACTTAGCATTCGGATAAATATGATTTCTAAGTAAAGCTTTCCAAAACCACTTCGGATATTCATGGTTCTTTACACAGTAATTTCGAAAACTAATCACTGTATTAACTTTGCCAAGCTTGACAGATTACCACAGAATTCATCAATGCTGAAAATATTCTGCATTATGTACAGACAATAACGCTTGAAGCATTGTTCAATGTAATGAAAAATAAGGTGTGAGTACAACAGATATACAGATAGAATAAACGTTGATCATCGCTAAACAACTCCATCGGTTCAAGCTGTTACACTTCACTGAAGTATATAAAGAACAGAAGGATAGAAAAAGATTCATATTAGAATAGACAAAGTTGTATGAGACAATAAACAATTTGGAGATCATGGTTAGATGTCAAAGATTAAATGAGTCTTCACCATTGTGAGCGATTTTTGGCCATGTCACAAAGAGTACTCAATCACTGATTTCTATCGTCTCGGAGACGCCACTCAAACAGTCTAAATCTCTCTACATGGCTCAGATCAACAGTCAAGAACTTCATGCACTGGCACTACTTCTTGGTCTGGTCACTCTGAACACTCTTACAAGCGAATCCAGCCTCCCATACTGTGACATGTCTAGGTAATCAGTGATTTGGCATGCGCAGTACATATCCAAGCCATCTCAGTCGATAAAGGTCTATCTCCCCTGGTACCCTTCACCTGACCTCAACATTCCTAACACGATGATTCCACCAGGTGCGTGGGATGCTACAGAGACACTTATGGTCGAAAATTTGCAATTACTTCATTTTTTCTACTTTCAACGGACATCTTCCAGTTATATAACAGGATAGAACGGAATGCAGCTCAGTATACTCGTCGTTTAGTAGGTGGTCGAATATCCCGCAAGTTGGTAGCGTAAGCGTGGTACTACTGGTCACTCAAGAGGAACACACCTTAAAGGTGTCACACCAAAGGAAAAGTGAATACTCAATCCAATGTTTAACAACTATCACCAAAACGTATCGCTTCATGAAATTTGAACGAATAAAAAGGATTAAACAGAAAAATATAAAATCACAACATTTGCATACCCAACAGAAGATGCTAATCGTACTGCATCATTTAACAAGGATTTACGTATATCTGGATCCAAATTAGGAGCGGGTGCAATCTCAACCAATTTCTGATGTCTTCGTTGAACAGAACAGTCTCTTTCAAATAAGTGTACAATATTTCCATATTTATCGCCTAGAATAAAAATAGCCGAACAAAAATTAAATTTAAGGGTTTCTAGAGATTTAGGGATTTTTTCCTATTGATATTCACCATGGACTGACATACATTGAAGGAATATAGGAAATCTGGGAGCAATGGACAACTGTTTCGTCTTGACTAGCTTTGAGAGGTGATTATTGAAGTTCTAGTCAGAAGTCGTGAACGCTGGGGTATAACTGGTGCCCATGAGGACAAATACACAACGATGACACTGGGTGGTGGACAGCAGCATAGTACTATCAACACTTAAAACACCATCGCATATCACTGCGGTGCCACAGATATGACGTATATCGCAACAGACTATCCCGAAATTACGTTCTGTTTCATGTGAGCGAGTTACAGAGACACAAGGCACTTATCTATACCGTACACAACCAGAAAGATGAGAATATATAATATAATGAGGTTGCCCATCTCATAAATACCGACTAGTAAGAAGCACTACCTTCTCAAAGTCCCAAAGAAGGGAGACCCAAGCATATGCAAGAACTAGCGGTGATTCACGCAGCTGTCCACCCAAACAAAATATTATGCCACATCATCAAGGAGAGACTAAAAAGTGCTCTCAATTCAAAATTATCACCGGAACAGACTGGCTGGCTGGCTGGCTGGATAGCTTCAGGAAGAACAAATCATGTGCCCATCAAATCGCTACTCTACGATACGCATTATCATAGAAAACAGCATAGAATGGCGGTCAACTCAACTCCACCTCAACTTCATCCACTTTGAAAAGGCCGGCGTTCGACAGCGCCAACCGAGAAGTAATTTGGCAGGCAGCTGCTTCAACACTACAGTTTCAGTGCCACAAAACTTTATCCACATCATTCAACAGCACCTATATGCTATATGACGACGCCCGCCACATGCCAAATGATTCACAATGGAAAGCTGCTCAGTGACGACTTTGAAGTGAAGACAGGAAGGATAAGGTTGCTGTCTACTATCACCTATCATCTTCTTGATTGTCATCGACTGAACTGAATGGTAATTGACGATGAAATTAGAATTTGAACCACCATAGGATTCAAACCTGTGATTACTGGGTTTTCGGCCCAATGCCAAAACCAGTTGACCTACGAGGTTCGACTGCTGATCATACTTTTATTTCACTTCGATAATCAAGGTGGGTTTTACTTGACTGCCATATGAACTTGTGACGCGTTACTACCACTCAGTGATTGAAGTAAAATAAAAATCTGGTCAGCATTTCTACCTCATAGCTCAGTTGGTAGAGCACCAAACCGGAAGTCCAGTATTTGCTGGTTCGAACCCCACTACAGTCTTAATGATTATTTTACCTTCATTCATCATTCAGTATCAAAATTAGTCTGGAAAATAACGGCAAATAGTCAAAATGATAATTCTATGTTTTAATAAATGTTTGTACTCCGCTACTTTGGTTGACTTTGATTGGCTGCTTTGATTTATACACTTGACCTCAAAATCAGTAAAAAAATATATTCTCCACTATTTCATAAGTAGTGTATTTTGATGTGTTTCACTTCTTTATTTCAATTTTTTAACTTATGAGTCAGACTTCTGACCTATTGATTCTACTGATCCTTTGCGTGTTGATGCGTGCATCTTGCATGTGATAACTTTGTTACAAAGTTCAATTTCTTTAGATGACCTCAACATTTCACTTGATGTTTACTCCTGTGAATAATATTCGATTTAAAAAGTTACCTCATCTGACCCTTCAAATCACATTTATTTTATTAGAGGAAAATAGGAATGAGTTTCTTGTATAATAAGTTAGTAGTGTATGAATTTGTCATGATATCAGCGTGAATATTGACACACAACTAGTTAACAAAATTTCCTGTAAAATAAAATACAAAAAATGAGAAAATAGGAGCTGATACTGTGACACCTTTAAGGTGTGTTCCTCTTGAGTGACCAGTAGTACCACGCTTATGCTACCAACTTACGGGATATTCGACCACCTACTAAACGACGAGTATACTGAGCTGCATTCCGTTCTATCCTGTTATATAACTGGAAGATGTCCGTTGAAAGTAGAAAAAATGAAGTAATTGCAAATTTTCGACCATAAGTGTCTCTGTAGCATCCCACGCACCTGGTGGAATCATCGTGTTAGGAATGTTGAGGTCAGGCGAAGGGTACCAGGGGAGATAGACCTTTATCGACTGAGATGGCTTGGATATGTACTGCGCATGCCAAATCACTGATTACCTAGACATGTCACAGTATGGGAGGCTGGATTCGCTTGTAAGAGTGTTCAGAGTGACCAGACCAAGAAGTAGTGCCAGTGCATGAAGTTCTTGACTGTCGATCTGAGCCATGTAGGGAGATGTGGACTGTTTGAGTGGCGTCTCCGAGACGATAGAAATCAGTGATTGAGTACTCTTTGTGACATGGCCAAAAATCGCTCACAATGGTGAAGACTCATTTAATCTTTGACATCTAACCATGATCTCCAAATTGTTTATTGTCTCATACAACTTTGTCTATTCTAATATGAATCTTTTTCTATCCTTCTTTTCTTTATATACTTCTGTGAAGTGTAACAGCTTGAACCGATGGAGTTGTTTAGCGATGATCAACGTTTATTCTATCTGTATATCTGTTGTACTCACACCTTATTTTTCATTACATTGAACAATGCTTCAAGCGTTATTGTCTGTGCATAATGCAGAATATTTTCAGCATTGATGAATTCTGTGGTAATCTGTCAAGCTTGGCAAAGTTAATACAGTGATTAGTTTTCGAAATTACTGTGTAAAGAACCATGAATATCCGAAGTGGTTTTGGAAAGCTTTACTTAGAAATCATATTTATCCGAATGCTAAGTCTCTCACACGTCAGGCAATGAACCATATTGACTCCATCATACCATGCATCCAAGAGTTAGAATGAAACATCTCACAACGATCCTTTTCACTTTTCAAATTGTTACCAATGAACAAAAATTATTCACTTAATTATTATTATTGCTTTATTATTTGTCTCTTGGGTTCCTAGGGAAACATAGCACGCCACCGTTGCCATTTCACTCTCTTCTCTCCAGTCTTGTCAACCTGGCTCCACCACTACCCACGATCATTCACTTCTTTCTCACACAATCTCCTCCATGTTACCATCGGCTCGGACTCCCAACTTGTCGTTTCCCCTTTGGCTTCCACTCGAGGGTCTGGTTTGACCTGTCACGTGATGTCCCCAAATGGTCTTCTCAGTGTTTGTCCAATCCAACCCATCTACACTTTCTTCTACACATTTGTTGGGCGATATGATTTTGGTTGGTTGGTTGGTTGCCTTTCAGAGTTTCTTCTTGCTTATTCTTATTATTCTCACCATCTGATCTCCACCTTCAGTGCCACTATGGAGTGAGCATAGGCGGCAGTTGTCGATGTGATGTATGTGTGCAGTTTGTTTGAAATGCTTTGCGTAACACGCCAAGTCTCTCAACCATCACATGGAAGCACCCAATTACCTGATTGACACTAGTGTTAAAAATCCGGATGTTGTTCACGCTTTATTCTGGGTGCAGTGCAGTGCAGTGCAGTAGATCTCCACATTGATTATTTCAGATTAGTGCAAAAAGGTTTGTCTTGGTGTCTTTCCGATCGTGGCTGGTTTGACGTCCTCACGTGTGCCTCTGCTGCTGCCTGTAGTTGAAATGATGCTGCCTAGACAGGTAGTTAGGTAGGTAGGTAGGTAGGTAGGTAGGTGAAAGAGACTACATTCTTTAGGTTCTTCCCAATTATGGTGTTTGGTGCTTGTTATTGTTGTTGGTGATGATGGTTGACTATCTTCATCTGACACCTCTGTCTTCTCTTTGTTCACCTGAAGGAAGTCCCGTTTTCGCTACATCTTCTGTCAACTTGTTGGTTTTCGCGTGTAGATTTTCGAGTTTCTGCGACAGGCAGGACATTGGACATAAATCATCATCTGGGGAATGTAAATTATCTTGTGGAGTCTTTCCGTGTTTCCAGTTAGTGTATACCCCTGTTCTCACTCGTCACAGTTGTTTGTTGCATGATCCAGTTCAGTTCAGATCAGTCGATGACAATCAAGAAGATGATAGGTGATAGTAGGCAGCAACCTTATCCTTCCTTATCCTTCCTGTCTTCACTTCAAAGTCGTCACTGAGCAGCTTTCCATTGTGAATCATTTGGCATGTGGCGGGCGTCGTCATATAGCATATAGGTGCTGTTGAATGATGTGGATAAAGTTTTGTGGCACTGAAACTGTAGTGTTGAAGCAGCTGCCTGCCAAATTACTTCTCGGTTGGCGCTGTCGAACGCCGGCCTTTTCAAAGTGGATGAAGTTGAGGTGGAGTTGAGTTGACCGCCATTCTATGCTGTTTTCTATGATAATGCGTATCGTAGAGTAGCGATTTGATGGGCACATGATTTGTTCTTCCTGAAGCTATCCAGCCAGCCAGCCAGCCAGTCTGTTCCGGTGATAATTTTGAATTGAGAGCACTTTTTAGTCTCTCCTTGATGATGTGGCATAATATTTTGCTTTGTGTGGACAGGGGTAGAGCATGATTCCACACTAGTTTTTGCAGAGAACAGACATAATAGGTAAGAATAACAGTAAAGAAGAAGGTTACTGATAAAATACATTTATTTATATATTAAGGAGAAGAGAATGTGAAATCTGCTGAATCAGAAGGACAGGGTCATCTTTCGTAGACTAGGGACTGTCACTAAGATTTAATTCACGCATTATTTCCCTTTTAATTTTGATAACCTTGGAGTGACATGATACATGTCGTGATTTGACCCCCAATCTAATGATAATGTTTTGTTTTATTGACAGATTTACCGGTGAAAGAGGTTAATTTTTCTTAGCAGGACGCAACGGTAACAAATGTTGAACTATTGAATTTTTAATCATTCTGATGTCATCATAACTCGACTCGAATAGTTGAGGTTAACTTTCAATGTAAAATATCCCCTGGATTTCAATAATCTAGTTGGTATTCATCACGGATTGACATCAGTTAGCGAATCATTTAAAAACTTGGGAGCAGTAGACAAGTGTTTCTTCCCAGTTTAGGACTATACAATAGCGCTCACCCATGACCCTAAAAGGTACCCAACCTAGGATATTAAGTCTTCACGGTAAGATTTGAACAAAAATATTTTGAGAGTGAAGTGTTCTTATTGGTCATTTTCGTGGCATCTCTTGTAACTGCATAAATTTCTTTTGAATACAGGGCTTCAAAATAGCAATTACCATAGTTTCCTCAGATTGAAGAAGTTTCAGGCACGCATCTTTCACAAGGTTTACATGAACCAGATAGATGACCCTAAAGTTTTTTTATGAATTTACCAGATGGTCATAATTAATCAAACGTTCTAAAAAACAGCTGTGAGGTGCTCATCTTTCTACTTTGTGGAACCAAGCTGGTTTATGTTCGGAAAGGCGTTTAGAAAGTGAACGCTAGTTAGAGTCAGCATACCTTACTCCACACGAGTAGGTAGATTGATAAACACATATTGAGGGGGCCAAGGCACTTATCTGCCTACACAAATAGGTCAATTCGACCGTGTATAGTAATGGGAAGTTACAAGTATTATAACAACTGATACCTGTTGCGCAAGAGGGGGTTGTTGTGTCACAGTGACTTAGTAGATAACTCTCCGGCGTTTGAAGCGATGAATACTGGGTTCAAGCCTTACTGGAAACAATATCACTCACTGAGGTACGGGTACATCCGGCTGAAGAGTCCCAAATAGGACAAAACACTCGTCGTGGATTCCTTTACTAGCTGCATCAAAGTAAATTATCAAAGTTAATCTCAGTATGGTAGCATACCTCGCCAGACAGTTTTTCAATATATCTCTTTTGAACTGTAAGCTATTGAATGAAAACAGGCTTCTTAGGAGCAGTAGAAGTAGGTTGATTGCTTGCTTTTAATTTTATAGTTTTATTAGTGAAACGCTTAGGATACTGATTTTCTGTGGATAAACCTTTTGAGTGATTCATTGTCTTCTCTTTTGTTTTATAACTTAATGGAGATTTCTAAACATCTAAAGTTTCATTTATAAGTTAAGAAATGTCATCAACAAAGTCACTATGAGAAATAGCTAGCTAATATACAGCTCATTCTATGTAATAATATAGTCTACTCGGATAAATTTTGATTGTAGAAGTTATTTCGGCTTGAAAATTGACAACATTATCAATCGAAAGGAACATATATATAAGAATAGTATCCCACTGGAATGATCTAGTTCACAATACATGTACGCACCATTGACTTTTACAAAATGGTGAGATTTTATATACATATATAAATTTCGATGAGGTGAATACCTCCCCCAGTACCCCTTTTTCATTATCTTATTCGCATATTTTTCCCCATACATGTATACTGTTCGTGAAATAAGACGAAAATAATTGAAATCTGCCCAAAAACCTTCTTTATGTATACTCGTATAGTTGACAATGAGCCACATATGTTATGTGACAGTTAATTATATATACCACCTGGTTGTCCAAATCTTAGTAGGCAGAGGCGGGTTCGAACCCATGACTCATCAGTTGGAAATCAACTGCCTAGATCAAGTAGCCAAAACCTTAAATATCAAAATAAAGATTTAGGTTATCTTACTTATGTTCTATGATAGATATCCATTGAATTACAATGTTATGAGAATTCCTTGCAAAGAGCGCTTCAGTGGTATCATAAATCATTTTCCTAAATAATCTTTATATGGTGATTGATATTAAAGTATATTTTCTTAAATAATTATAGGAAGCCTTCACTTTTGTTTGACTACATCAGGGCCATATTAAGGTATGACTCGAGTTATTTTAAAATATGAACCTTCTGAAGTCATTACGTAATCCCCATCTAAACACTCCATATTCGATATCTTTTTCAGTCAGTTTTTGTAAGTGATGAAACTCTTCACATTCATGATTAATACAGGAAGACAATGAAATGCTAACCACTTAGTTTACTTCCATTATACTTCAAGTGATTGTTGGTCAGATATTCATTAAGTATTATTAAGAATAGGTTAAATGACGACTTAGGTTCGAAGCCCATTCGACTTCCTTCAAGGCTGGGCAAGCGGCTAGTCCTCAAAGGGAGAGAAAGTTACTTTCTACTTTACAATACTCTGAAGATTTTTTGAAAGATCACTGTACAATAATTGTTATAATACAGTTGGCGTCCACTTTTCCCAACCCACAGGAGACATCGTTTACAGGTATCAATTATGGTTAACATTCATCCGTAATAAGGTGATAAAAGGTCAGTGTTTGAATGCTTTTCCACTACTGTAACAAAATTTGAGCCATATGACTTATCGTCCAACAATGGTTTTCTGTTTTATCAAAGATTTCAATGAGAAAGCCTAAATCTTCCAAGATATCTTTAACAGATAGATGGAGACCACGTCTACTGATACCATGATTTCTTTTGGACAGTCAGCCGCAACCGACTGATAAAATCAACGTAGAACCATGCACACAGGTGCATCGACTAAAGTTGACACATTTCACAATAGTACACAAAGGACAGGTGGATAGAAAAAGAGGGATATGAAAGAAGATAAAGTTGTGGGAGAGAATAAATAATCTCAAGATAAACGTTAGTTCAAATATCCAAGTTTTAGTAGACAGCGAGGAGTGAATACATCTGCGGCATTGTAACTAATTTTCAGCTTTTTCGCCAAGAATCCACAACTACTGGTTCCGATCGTCTTTGAGGCCCCAGTCAAGTAGTCTACATCTCCCCATATGACACAGATTAACAGTAAGAGACGTTATCGACTGATACCACGTCGTGGTTTGGTTTCGCTGAACTCTCTTCCAACCTAATCCAGATTCCGTGATATGGTACGTTAACGTAAGTGGTAGCTCGCATGGGCAGTAGATGTTTAAGATATCTCACTTGACTACGGTTCACAACCTCATCAATCAGCTTGTCTATCTTCCCTAGTACCCTTTACTTGATCACATTCGAATAGGAATAATAACAGTTTGTTGTTCTCTGGGTTACGATATTTCTTCCTGGGCGTTTCAACCGAAATATCAAATCTCAGAGAACACTAAACCACCATCAAGTTTCAAGTCATTATACCAATCTAGTTGGGTTACTGGATGTGACTTTTAATTGATTTGCGGGCTGCCTCTACATTCAACAGTATTGATCCTTTAAACTAGATTATTGTCTTCAGCTGATTAGTAAGATGCTTTGAGAAGAATTTCTTAAAGTTCTAACTAGAAGCTGTGACGTGTAAGGTCAACGAAATCAGATTTAAGGGTAAATACTCGTCAATAGCTCTGGATGATAGTTGTATTAGATTAAGAGTTAACAAAAGTAAGAAAACTGGAGGTCATCGAATCTCGACCCCATTTTTGAATGGCAATCTGATGACCTTGGATTTGAACCCCTGATTTGATGTTGAAGAATCCCTCACTAAGACGAAACAACTATGTAGTAGCTATAAGGTTTTCAATGATTCTTCAACCGATGCCAATCCATGATCAATAACTACCTTGAAATCGTATTGGTCAGTTTCACTTGATACGTCCTGATAAGCCGATTCCTTTTAGCTTGTTTCAGCTGACAAGGTGAGAAGGAATATCAACATACAAATATGATAATCTTTCTTTGTGTATCCATGAAAATTGTAAATTTTTAAATGGAATTATATCAACTGACATTAGGTGTATACAAACAGCAACAAAAGAAAAGAAAAGAAAGAGCAAACAATCAGTGGAGTTCAATGGAATAAACTAACTAACCCAATATTTGTACTTCAATATGTCTAGGTCGTTCAATAAATTTCTCAATAAACATTGCTCCATTTCCAAAGGCTGCTAAAGCTTCTGAAGATGCTAATTCAAAATTTTGTCGTATATCCTGAGAAATATTAGATAAAAGTAAACATTAGTTCCTTATCAATAACTCTAGACTAATATATGTAGCATTTTCAAACCGTAAAATTACATACCAATCTGGTAGTGAGAGTTGGTTACTTAAAGATTATCAGTCTTAAAGTATCAGTAGAGTTGATATGTAGCGACAAAAAGGCAGCCAATAGAGAAATTGTTTTCACATCATGATTTATATATGCACTGGACATGATTATCTGATTGGACAATTCCCACGTCATACAACAAATCGGATTGGTTCATTTATGGCTTCATTTTCTGAGAGTTTGTAAATATATATGTATATATTTACCATGAAATTTGTAAAGTCGTTGTCGGTGTTCTTGCAGTCACAGACAGTCTTTTGTCTTCTGATTTTCGCTGCTTACTGAAGTATAGAGTGTGGAGGAGAACAGTCGTACTACTTGTATCCAGTCCAAGTATCTCGTTTGAGTATTATTATAACCCACGTAGAACACCAAATGCAGTCACATCAAAGGTGATAACTGATTAGGTAAGTAAGGCAATTAACTAAAGCATAGATTATTTATAATAGAAAGATTGTGTGGAATTTAAAACAAGAACGATGCAAGCATTATACTGGATAAATTTAATAACGTCCATCCAACGATAACCTTCACCAATGAGACAGAAAGTGGCGACAGCATCACCTTCTTGGATGTTCGGTTGACAAAGGTGGAACTGTATCATCTGTTCAGATGATACTTTTGACGAAGAGCTTCAAATTATCCATGATCTATTCAGTAGTAATGGATGTCCAAAAGCATTTCTGGCTAAAAATATGGACACATCTAATATGAAAACCAGAATACCAACAATCCCCAAGAAACCATTGTTCCTAAGACTTCAACTTCAAGGAGACATCATCATCAGCGAAATTGTGACACAGCGCCTAAGAAATGCTATAACGAAGCCATTTAGTGCCGCAAAGTTATGCTTTCGACCGATGATGACCACACGAACCAAATCCAGACTACCTGACTTCTCTTCTTCTATGTGGATTTACCAGTTCAACTGCTCCTGTGGATCTAGTTACATTGGACATACAGTTAGACAAGTCTGTCATCGAATCGCTGAGCATCATCCTTCATAGCTAAGTAAGGGGAAAACTATATCGATATGTAGCTCAATACTCTCGCATCTGATTGACACTGGCCACCGAGTAGATATTCGTAATCCCTTTAAAGTTATTTATCACATTTCTTCTAACCTCACCCATCCTCTACGAGTTCGTCTTTTACGTACAGCGAAAGCCATAGGAATCCACCTAAACAAGCCGTCTGTATGTTCAGAAGAAATTCGTTCAGCCTTTTTCTTTACCTTAGCCATCTGTATAGCTTATCTGTTACAACAAGATCCTTCCTTTCATTCATCCCGCAAATGATTATAGCTAATATTTTAACACCTCTTTGATTATTATTATTATTGCTGTCGTTATTATCACAGTTTAAGCCACGTTGTTCACCCCCAGTTGTCTCTAATTACCATCGAAAATTTACCGCTTTACGCACCAATTCATTTTCGCTCTTTAGTTACTAATTATACAGAATATCAATTCGATAAGGACCTGTTTAAAATCTCGAACTTTTTCGATTATAATTAATCCATGCTGGATCACGCAGCGAACCGTGAAGAGCGAGAAGATGGGCGTAAGCCGTTTGACAGATGAAAAGACCCTACAAGAAGACTTGCACTTCGCCGATGATTTACGTCTAATGTCATGTTGCACAAATCCGAAGATCTACAGGCGAAAACCAACAAGTTGACAGAAGAGACAGGTCAGCGAAGACGGGACTTCAAGTGAATATGGAGAAGACGGAGGTGATGAAGATACCCAAACAACAACAACAACAACTACAACAGGGTGCACCAATCAGCAATAATGGGAGAAACCTAAAGGAAGTAGACTCTTTCACCTACCTATTCAAGGTAGCATCGTTTCAACTACAGGCGGCACAGAGTACGATGTCAAAACCAGGATCGGAAAGATAGCAAGACAGGCTTTCCTGCATTAATTTGAAATAATCAGTGTGGAGATCAACTGCACTCAGCATGAAGCGAGAACGAGATCTGAATTTTCAACACCAATGTCAAGTCAATGCTTCTATGTAATGGTTGAGAGACTTGGCGCGTCACGAAAACCATTTCCAACAAACTACACACATACATCAACAACTGCCTACGATCACTTCATACTGAAGAAACAATAAGCAACAAGGAACTCTGGCTAGTAATGAACCATCCAAGAACCTGTTGCTCAACAAGTATGCAGAAGGAAGTGGAGATGGATTGGGCACATACTGAAAAGGTCGATTGGGGACATCACGCGCCAGGCCAGTCACTTGAGTGGAACCCAGATGGGAAACGATGAGTTGGGTGTCCGAACCGGGGTTGACATGGAGGAGATGGTGTGAGGAAGAAATGAAAGCTTCTCGGCTGTCATGGAGCCAGGTTCAAAAGTTTTCAGGGAGCAGAGTGGAATGGAGGCGTGTTACTGAAACCCTATGTTCCAGTAGGAACCCAAGGGAAAAATAATAACATTTGAAAAGAAATATTTCTTCGCTCACACTGCTTGTTTGACTAAATGTCTAAGTGGGAATTTTTGCATAAGTGAAATGAGTAGCTTAAAATTATCTAAGTTTATAGACCGTTGATTACAATCAGTTCATACGACCTAGCTTACGCTTTCATCATCTAAACTTGTGTAGTTTTTCAATCAATCAAACTGTCGTGAAAAAAATTTCCACTGAAAAATATCTAAACTGGATCACATGTTTGTTATATGTGATACAAAAGCGTCATAACGAATTGAAGGTACTACCTCGAATGATACTGGTTTGGTGTTTTCTGAGAGTTGATATTTTATCATAAACGTTTCATTATTAGGCTTAATGACATCTTCAGCATTAACTTAATAAACAAGTGAAACAGTTGGACAACTAGTTCCAAAGGGAACTGAGGAGTTTAGTAAAATCCAGTGAAAACACAAACGAAGAACAATGACGAATGAAGACAAATGGATCAGTCCTATCGAGGTTCCATCGTCGATCTAAGATACACAAGATAGATATCCCACTACAACCAATAGTTTCAATACCTGGAACATATTCATTCAACTGATCGAAAGAATGATACAGAAAACGAAAACATCTCCCAACAGAAGTGAACATCAAGTCAGCTCAACAACTGAATTTCTAGACAAAATAAAGGATTTAGGGTCAGGCTGTGATGAAAGGATGATATCTTTTGATGTGACTTCATTCTTCACTTCAATCAACTCAAATTTAGCCAAGAAGACGATGGATATTCTTCTGAAGAACCACTAAACTGTTCCTAACTATACAAAGATCATGGTTCCAAACCTAGTGGAAATGATAGAGCTATATCTCACAACCTATTTCCCTTTCAATAGGAAAATTTAGAAACAAACAAGTGGAACACCAGTAGGATCACCAACATCAGGATTGATTTCTGAAGTTGTGATGCAGCAACTAGAATCAACAGCCTTTCATCTCATCAAGCCAAAAATTTGAACTCGGTAAGTCAACGACACAGTCGCAATTCTCAACGATGAGGAAGTAGAAAACATATTCAAACTAATCAATCAAACATTTGAAGGAATCAACCTCATAAAGGAGGAGGAATTCAATGAAAGGATTCCATTCTTACTTGTCCTCATCAACAGAACACAAAAGTGTACAGGAAAACCATACACAGATCAAATATTGAACTACAACAGTAATCATTCTAAAGCTCATAAGAAATATTGTGTACAAACATTGTTCTCAACATCCAAAATATATTGCAGCAGTAAAGCACTACAAAAAGCCAAAGATAACTAGCTGTACAAAGTGTTCAAAGCCAATGATTATCCACAGAACTTTTATCAAGAAGTGTTTATCAGCAGAACAGAAGACACGGCAACTGCCTTAAACTACTAGTCACGTTGCACTAACCTACATCAAAGATATCTCAGAAACATTCAACCATTTGCTTTGTCCTTTCTGAATCAGAGTACCACACAAACCGACGAAATCACTACAGAGTATGTTGTCCAAACAGAAGGATGCATTGCCAAAAGAAGACAGGATAAATATAATCTACAAAATCAATTTCAAAAGTTGTTCACACCATTATGTTAGCCAGTCTAGTCGTCGGACTGCTCAAAGAATTGATGAACACAAATTAGAAGTAAACCGACATGATGCTGCCTTCTAGGTTTCAATGGTTGCAGACAATCATGATTACAAATTCGACTGAAAGAGTGTGGAGATCCTCCAAAGAGCAGATTTTGAAGCTGCAAGAGAATTTCTGGAAGGATGGTATTCAACAGACATGTGAATATTGACTCAATCTACTAAGGAAAAAACAGCCATCCATCAACCAAGGGTAAATTGACGGGACAAATCAGTAGTGATGCACAGTGTGACAGTAATGAGTAACACAATTTTACTCCAACCAAGACTGTCTACCATTTTGACTGAAGAAAATTTAATGTGAAAGAGGTCAGAGTGTGATAAAAAATTTCTTCCCAACTTCCAATTGGACAACACTCAAGGTCAAAGAGCAAACTATCTAAACTTTCGTGTAATATTCTATTATGCTTCACTTTATGATGAAGTTAGTGCTAAAGATGTCGCTAAGCCTAGTGATGGAACATTCACGACAAAATATGAAAGCTCAGAGAACACCAAAACACCATCCATGGTAATAATAGTAATATAATTATTACCCTATTTCAAACAATACATTTGAGACAGTATGGAATTCTCAACAAATTTACCGTCTGCATAGTGTTTTCATGTGGAATTTATATGGGATCTGATTGATGTTGATAGTAACAGTATTGTAAGGATTGAGGATACAACCAATGTTAGTGGCAGCCAATCACTTTCAAGTTTGCACTGACCAATCACGACTAAGTATATGAAGGACAACGTGATTATAAAGGAAAATGGTGCTTGATTT